CAAACGGCAATTCGAACGTATTGAGGCAATACAAAAAACCAAATCATCAGCTTCAAAGCGTTCAGATAGCAAGCTGAAATTATCTCAATATATTGTCTGACGGGCAGACATATTTGAAAACAGACAATTGATTTGAATTCTACAATTTATCTACAATTTTTTGGAACCATTCTTCATTCGAAAAAAATTCGATTTGTGGAAAATACGTTTTTTGACCAAGATTTGAGTTGTCCCATTTTATAGCAATTTTTCGATAGTCGATTACTCAAAAAAATTGTTCCTACATAAAAAAAAGTAAAAACACTACATTTAAGTACATACAATCTACAATTGAAATCGCCCTACCCGAATTCATTTCGGCAAATTTGCCAACATTTGAATATTCATCCTAATAACCACATTTTATTAACATTTTAATAAAATCTACACCATATTAATAACCGAAAATTCACCATACTAATAATTATTAATATGTTAATAAAATGCACTATATTTATTAACGTTAATAAATATGGTGTTTCAAAATTTTTATTAATTATTAAAATATGTTGTTTATTAACATATTAATAAATAATAAAATACCGATTTTTGACTGATTTGTAAATGAACATGCATAGAAAAATTATAAGTATCTCGCTGAAAACAAGAGTACTAGCCAGAATATTTTTAAGCTAAGCGATGTAGAAAAAGTGTTCAACAACTAACCCAACTACAACGAAAATCAATTGAGAGTAATTCCTAAAATTGTCGAAGTTCATTCATTGAGAATATTGTTATTTTTTTTTTCTTAAAGCCACATCGTATAAGTGTTCGCAGTGTTACACATGATCGACATACATCACGTGATGCCGCTTGTACAATGATTATTGGACGGGATACTGCCCACTTGGGACCATCAGCAGTACGAGCTTCAAATATAACATGCTCTTCAGCAGTCATATCTTGGCTTCCGGCCAATACGAATCATCACCATGTAGTATGTGTAAACAATGTAGAAGTGAAAATAGTTAAACAAGGTGTATATCGTCAAACGATTACTGGTAAGTAACTTCAATCCATACAAATTTCTATTGAAGCAAAGGATGTGTGATTTGTTTATAAATTCTGAAAAAAGAACGGACTATTTAAGTGTGGAATAAATTTTACTCGGAGGGAAAATACTGGTTTTTCTCTTACTTTCGATACTGATTTCGAGTCATGACAAAATTACCCCCATGAAATTTAAATTGCCTCCCTCTGGATGGTAAATCTTCAGATGGTCTGGGCAGTTTTGAAAAATGTTCAGACGTTTTCTAGGAGTGAAAAAACGTTCAAAAATCTGTTTTTTACAATGTTTATGAAAATTAAACTGAACTACGGTTTGGTTTTTTCCTCTTTTATTATTCATTTCATGGTGCGATGTTTATCTGCATCGTCTTCATCCTCATTGGTGTGTTTAAGAACTTTTTTGAAGTATCGTTGATCGGTTGTTCAATTCGGCGACGATTCAATTCCGAAAGACAATTTGCCATAGCAGGTCGCACTTTTCAAATATTGAAGTGTTACATGATAAATAATTTTCTGTAAAAATGGGCCGTTCGCATACAAATGATGATGGTTGATCGTCTAACACAGAGCCAGTACGCTCAAATTTCTGCACCAGGCGACTGATGGTGGACACATTTGGTCGATTATTTCGGCCGAAAAATTCACGAATTGCACGAAACGTATTTTGCAAAATAGACCCATTTTCGTAATGGGATTTAACGACTTGAACGCGTTGATCTTTACTTAATCTTGACATGGTTATAAATGGTATAGATGGACGCTTCAAACTGACATTCCAGTTTGACAGATCGGGGCATCCATCATGAAATCCCTATTGAAAAACTTTTTGCGTCCCTATTGGGACACCCTTTAGAAATGGTTAATCATGCGTTTGCTTGTTTAACTCAATTTTGAGTGTTCGAAAGTGCTTCATCGGCAGAAAGAAATGGAAAACAAATTTTTCTCAATGAACTTCTGACCAATCAAATTTATACGTTCTTTTATGAAAACAACGAAGAAAAAAATGACGAGCGAAGCAAGTCGAAATGTTCAATAAATATTGAAAAATATAATCATCAGTTCTTAGATAATGATATTTTTAACTTGTTAAAAAACATACAACTAATTTCACTCGTGCTTGATAGGTCTATCACCAAGTTCCCAATACCGGGTCACTGTTAGAGCAAAACACTTGCGAGCTCCCGGTCAGGCACCACAGATGCCGCCACCAGAAGAGGCACCTGGCGCTTACACAGACTTTCGCACGTTAACCAAAGGCCTGCCAGATCCTCCACAAGTAAAGAATATATTTTGGATATATTGAATAACATGCATTATCACATGATATTGAATTGCAGGATATTCAAGTTGAAGCTGGGCCACAAGACGGAACATTATTAGTAACATGGTCAGCTGTCAATCGACCACCTTCATCTGGTCCCGTGACAGGATATGCTGTATATGCCGACGGAAAGAAGGTTTGTGTTCGCAGAATGCATTGTAACTGTCTCACCTTTTATGGATTGAGTTGATGGACGCAGGTTGCAAATCTGTCGGTATCATGGAGAAAGACACACGGTCTTCTTATTTTCTTATATGTTTCACTTTATTCTCATTTTGCTATAGCAATAATATGTTATTGCTTTTTTCATTTGATTGGCCGTTATTCTGCCGTGAGAATATACACTCAATGTATCAAGTATGATGAGTTTTGTTCTGAATATTTTCATTCATTCTTGAACAAACTTTCCTATCCTAATGCATTAAGCTGTACATTTGTTGTAGTCCATAAGAAATGTACAGGGCAATGTATGGAAAATATTTGGCACACAAATGAAAATATTCAAAACAAAACTCACCACACTCGATGCATTGTACAATTCAATTTAATAGTTGCGACGATTTCCTGTTTGCTATTTCCAATTTTTGGACTAGTAGAGTTTTTAAGCCATGATTACAACAATTACTTGCCCCAATATTATGTATCACTTTTTTCAAGTTCCACACATTTCTACAACGCAAAGCCCTCATTCCCAGGGATCATTCGTATATGAACGCGTGAGAACAAAAGACTGACGCTACCAGTTTTTTCGCAAAAGCGGAATAAAAATCAGTTGCACGCAAAAGAGACATTTCAAAAGGTTGCACGCAAGAGAGAAGTATATTGTTGTTGTAATCACGGCTTTAAAATTCAAAATGCGACAAAATAAAATGTTCCGTTTGCGTGTAACCTTTTGAAATGTCTCTTTTGCGTGCAACTGATTGTTATCCCGCTTTTGCGAAAAACCTGCTAGCGTCAGGCTTTTATTCTCAAGCGTTCAACAGATGTATTTGATTCGATTTGTAAAATATCGTTTCTCAATATTAACGTTTGTGTGATTCATAGAAATGGAACCGTATTTGAACATTTTTTTGAAGATAAGATATAAGAAGTATATATAATATAGGACATAATACCTAAATAAATATTACAGGTAACTGATGTAGATTCACCAACTGGGGATCATGCATTAATTGATATCGGCAAGCTGGTCGGACTGAATCCTCGAATGGTGACTGTTCGCACCAAATCTCGGGAATCCACATCAGCAGATAGTCAGCCAACCCTGATTCCAAGTATGATAATTATAATGATTATTATTCAAATTTGTGAGTGAAATGATAATAACATACAGAGATTGCGTAAATAGGTGTCAATCTAAGCCATAGCACTTGCTAGATAATACCGTGATAGGTAACCTTGCATCAAATAATGCGTAGCTAACTCTTTCAAATAAGTCAATGCAAAAGGATGAACGTAATAGAAATATTTTACATAACATCGTCTACCCATTCACATTCATTTATATTTACCACGTAAACAATACTTATACGCTAGGGGCTAATGACTGTTCGTAAATACCATCTAGCAGCTCACTGCTTGCGTAATTAAATACAAATATTCACAATGTTCCCAGAATAAACCAATGTGAACATTCGCAAACATTCGAATGCCACTCGAATGCTGTGCGAATGTTAACATTGATTTTATAAAAAAGTGTTGTGCAAAATATTTTCAGCTAATATTTTGGATTTGAACTAATTTTGTGATAATTCAGCTGTAAACAAAATATCTGACATGCAAATTGTAAGAAAAGTGGAGCATATTTTTTCATCAATATCGGCGGGCAGATATCGTAAAGTGCAAAAGATAAAGAAGAAAGAGAAGAATATTTCGAATATCGGCCTTAATATCTACCTGCGATCACCATATCTTACTATCAATATAGTTTTTTCTATATCGAATTTTAAGAATTCGCACACAAAATTTCTAAGTGAAAAAAGATGTTCCAGTATAAAATTAACTTCATATTTAACTTAATTATTATTAAAATCATCTTCATAATAAGACTCCGTGCGGAATGCAGCGAAGAATCGTCATCATCAACAACAACAACAAGCGAACATTCCACAATCTGTACATCCTCCTCATATAAGAAATCAGCAGCAACAGCAGCACCAGCAACATCAGCAGCAGCAACAACAATCACAATTACAGCGTGGTGGACAAATGATGAATCAGCATATGAATCAGCAACATCCAGCCATCAACACAAATCATCAACAGCAGATTCTAGATCATCACGATGAGAATCTAAGCGATAAGGAAATCTTCCCAGGTAATTATCATTCTCTTATAACTTGTCAAAACATTCACTTGTACGACACACTACAGTGTGTTCACATTTATGTGAATCGAAATACTTCTCTTCAAAAGGGGAAAAAACCGTCCAGCTTTATTCGTTCGATTCCATTGGGTTTCATTTACGGAATTGAACACAATATTTTCAAAATATCAACTGACTTTATTCAAGTATGAGCCTTTTTATGCCCTTTGGACATTTTAAATTTCTGAATATAGCTCAAGTAATGAAGAACCGCGTGATAAGGTTTATCGAATTGGACCGTTTGAGAGTTTACATTTTGCGATACGCTCTAAAGCAACTCAAAGAACCTTAAACCTTTTCGTACTTTTTGACAGATGTACTAAATTGAATGTTTTCTATGTGGCCCTCTGGTTGGTGATACTAATATCTTCTCGCACGATTCTGATGAAGATTTTATTTATTGTTTATCCAATTTGATACAAAATCACTTTTTCATTCATAAACTCCATGCACGCGACATCCACCATACAAGCGAAGTACACGGGCGCTCCGTGTACGAACGTAGTGGAAAAAAAGTGAAGCTTGCTGGTCACCAATATTGATTTTCATGGACATCAAAATGTTTATGCGTTATTTCGCCCACTTTATGCACTAAAAATATTTAATTCCTTCATTGGTATCAAATTTCACATATGAATTCATAAACACATCGAGAAAACACAACTTTTGTTCACATAAAAAGCAAAAGCAAGATGATTTTTTCGTCGATGGTTGTTCGATCCTGGATCACTTGCGATTCATCGATGATTTGCAACGCATCTTTTTTTTTTATTGAAAGTCCAACTGAATACGATGTTTTGTATTGATTAAATAATTCTATTATGATCACAAAATATTTTTTTATTAGCACTACATGGCTATTCATTAGATCGAGAGGAGAGTAAGTTCATCTGACTTTGTTATGAAAGAGAAGAGTAAGTTTCTTTCGACTCAAAAATGGTTAAAGGCGAGTATGCTCATTTTTGGCGGGTCCTCGCGGTTTTCCACGGTTTCCGCGGAACTGATAAGAGATAACAACTTGTTGTCTTCGGCAAAGTTGTAGCACTCGAGGTCTTCTATAACATTGCTGAATTCAGTTATCTCTTATCAGTTCCGCGGAAAGCGCGAAAAATGATAAGAAACAAAAAGTTCTATATAAAATTTGCTTTTATATGTGCGCGATTTGCGCGCAACTGATAAGAGATAAGAGATAGATGTCTTGAGCAATGTTATAGAAGACCTCGAGTACTACAACTTTGCCGAAGACCATGTTGTTATCTCCTATCAGTTGCGCGAAAACCGTGAAGACCGCAGAGGCTAGACGGTACTACAACATACTCTACTTTAACGCCAACAGAATCATCAGAAAACATACTCTCCTCTTTCAAGATATATTAGAATTTTTTCACATACTCTCCTCTCGATCTAATCAATAGATGGAATTTAGTATACATGGAAAATAGGCTATTGTAATTGTTTTTTTTTTCTCGAGAAAATTTTAAGAGTTTTTAGGCCATTTTTTTGGACCGAAAATTAATTCTTTTTTCTATCCAAAGTTCTAATTTGAAATAAAGCAATTACGCTTAATTTCAAAAATATAATAATGTCATGTTCATGTAATTCATGTTTGAGATAGCTCAAAAAAAAATTTCATATTATTTTAATTCTCAATGTGAAATAATGTACAATCCACTTTCACATTACCGTACCCAAAACCCATTATTAAGAGATTATAATATAATAAATAGAACTATAATTTATTCAATTAATTGATTTATAATTATTTATAATATCAATATTATAAATAACTAAATTTTTCAATGTTTCTCTTATATATTTAATTTTATCGAACATACTACATACTTGATATTAAATCAAGTAATTTTCATAAAATAAAGAAATGTATGCTTCGATTGAAACTACATTCCATGTAGTGCTTCGATAACTAATTTGATGGGAACATCAAATTAATTTAAAAAATCAATTTTAACAAACGCATAAAGAACGTAGAGAGGAGCGAAGCGATGATCTGCGGTCTTGTTATTTTCTTGAGATGGCAATTGTGCGTGCTTTGATGATAAACAACACAAACGATAGCACAAACATTAATGTCTAACAGTCTATTTATGCTCCTCGGGATAAATTTATAAAAAGGTTAAATTTTTTTGGTCAAAATACCAAAATTTCCAGCAAAATTTTTACTTTTGGCGTTGTAAATTGATGTTAAACATCATTTCTGTTCTTAATGGTTTCATAAATATGAAAAATTTCCAGTCATATCGAAATTTTGTAATTTATTTTTATACCAGGGATAAGCACTTCAGAAATATGAAGTAAGTAATTGTTAGTTTTTTCCTCAAAACACAGTCGAACTTGGAGTTTAAATGAATAATCTCTGGTTTTTTATCTTAAATTTTAAGGATATGGACATTTCAAATCAATTTTTTGTCAAAAAATTCCAACATTTCACTATCCGAAGGATAAAATTTACGACCATGTAGGGACCTGGTCGTAAATTTTATCCCTCGGATAGTGAAATGTTGAAAATTTTTGACAAAAAATTGATTCGAAACATCCATATTATTAAAATTTGTGACGAGCAACCGGGGAATATTGGCTAAAACTTCCAGTTTAACTTTGTTTTTGAGCAAAAATTTACAATTACTCACTTTATACCTCTGAAGTGCTTATCCCTGGTATAAAAATAAATTACAAAATTCGATATGACTGGAAATTTTTCATATTTCGACCATTATTATTATTATTATTATTATTATTATTATTTATTTGGTTTCTTCATACTTACAACTAAATTATACAATGGTTGAGATCTACTATTGAAATGACTTTACATGTTATGACCACACTACTCCCAAATCATTAGACAAATTTTTTTTTTCTATCATTTTGATTACATTTTTAATTTTTTTTTCAGAATATTGGGGTATCTAAATAAATTACCAGTCCATATATATACAATTTTAGGACCAAATTTAAATTTGGCATTAGGGAGGCTATTATTGAAGAAGAAGGTGAAAAAATCGCACAGTCTCACCACAACTGTTCAAATCAAGGCACTGGACCTTATTTTTGGCCACAAACGATTGCATTTTCGAATTCTTCGTCGAAAATTAGCCTAAGAATAGTCAATCTAAGATGCTTTTTGAACCTTGCCATTACTTCAAATATAACTCGGGAGATCGAGTGTCCAAATATACTGAAATAAGCTGTTAGCATGTGGTTGGACTTTTAATCTGCAGCATCAATATGAGTATCATTTGAAGTCTTGATTCAATTTTAAACAGGTCATTCTTAGGCTAATTTTCGACGAAGAATTCGAAAATGCAATCGTTTGTGGCCAAAAATAAGGTACAGTGCCTTGATTTGAACAGTTGTGGTGAGATTGTGCGATTTTTCACCTTCTTCTTCAATAATAGCCTCCCTAATGCCAAATTTGAACCATGTAAATGAAACATGTTATACGCCAAAAAAAACTAGACATCAAGCGCTACATTTTAGGAACACACCACACCAGTGCTTGTGCCTTAGAAGCAGTTAAAAATGGTTGCATAGTTGGAGGAGCATGATTTTTCAAACTGCCGACCTCGATTTGGGGCAGAAGGAAGGGTTTGATCAAGTTAAAATGTTCTACGCGGTTTCCGAATATTATAGTGATTTGGGGCTAAAAGCGGGTTTCTGCCCTGTTTTTGCCCTAAAATAGTGATTTTCGGTGATTTTTCGACTTTTTAGCCTCCCCCTCCCTTCCAAAGGGGAGGGCGACCGCAAACATTGTTATTTTTTGATTCACTGGAGTCTGGCGAGAATTTTATTAGAACACTTCACCAGTGTCAGACCACCTATTTGGTGTGAAAAAAAATAAGTAGTCGAAAAACCATGAAAAAATGGTAAATGGTGAAAACACCGAATTTTTTTCTCATAGTTGGGGAATATCGAAAAATTCAAGAATTTGAGGTGGGCCGAGTTTTAAGCCAAAAAAATCGAAAAAAATTTCCACGTCAAAAAAGAGTTTGCCATTTTTATACTTTGAACCCACTTTTCAGAGCTTGAATGAGCCCGGATGGGGTTGTCGTAGTGGACTTTTTTGTAGCCCCATCGATTATCTATCCAACCATGCATATAGTTTTGAAAGTTTGTAACACACTTTTCTAGTGTAAAAATGTCAAAAAGTGCCATTTTTCATTTTTTTCAATATTTGGGTCACCCTAACTTTTCATCAGGTGGGGAAGGTCACCCTAATTTTTTGGCTTTGCGAGTTTTTGGCCATAAGAAGTTTATACACCAAGTTTGAGCGAAATCGAAGAGGTCACTTGCAAATTTTGTCCCGCTTGGTGTGGAATCGTCGATTTATGAAACCATTAAGAACAGAAATGATGTTTAACATCAATTTACAACGCCAAAAGTAAGAATTTTGCTGGAAATTTTGGTATTTTGACCAAAAAATTTATCCTTTGGATAAATTTATCCCGAGGAACATAAATAGACTGTAAATAAATTAAGAAACAACCAGTTGCATTTAATCCTGGAACCAATTGTTTGTCGCCTATAACAAATCACACTACATTCAAAGCTGATTTTCGAACATTTCTTTTCTCAATTTATACCTAAAAAACACAGTAGAGATATTATTTTAAATAAAATCTCATTGTACAAATGTTTCAAATTCGAGTGTCACACAAATGCACGAAATTTTCGAAGAATGGCCGTAATAAGTGTTCTTTTTCAATTCAAATTCAATAAATTTCAAGAGTTTATCAATAGAAAGAAAATAATTTAATTCAAAATAAAAACTCGATTTTTAACTAAATAGTGTAAACACAATGTAAGTTATGAAATTGTTCCTTTTCACTGAAATGACAGTTGACTTCACACCAATTGCATTCAGCTGTGTTTGAAATGTCATAAAATAGTAAATTCGGAATATCCACAAATTTTCAACGTGTAGAATAGCATTTCTCCACGTGTAGAATGTACGGAACAGATCGCTTGATGCAGTTTGTATGATAAAAATCCAAGGGGTGAAAAATGTAAAAATTATTTTTATCAAAAATTGGTTCAAAATGTTTTTATTATCAAAATTTATGATGAAAAAGCAGCGAATTTAACACTATGATTGTTCTTGGGGCACCCAGGGCCCCCAGCGAACTTTAAAGTTGAATAAAAGTATTAAACAGTGTATAAACCAACCGGAGTTAAGTCTCATTGTATAGATTGAACATTTCTCTACACGAATGAAAAAAAAACATATGCATATGTGTGAGTATGTGTAAAATACAGCCTGCCGCGAAACTTGTTACGCTGTTGTTCTTGGGGGACCACAGGGCCCCATGGCTATTTTATATTATAACTGGAATATGATAAGAGATAACGACTTAATGTCTGTGGTGAAGTTGTAGTACTCAAGCTGTTCTACAACTTTGCCGAAGACACCAAGTCGTTATCTCTTATCAGTTTCGCGGAATACGCGAGAAACCGCAGAAAACCGCGAAAAAACGCGTTTTTTTCCTTATCATTTTTCACGGAACTGATAAGAGATAACGAGATGGTGTCTAAGGCAAAGTTGTAGTTCTGGTCGAGGACTACAATTATTCTGATTCATTATTCCGTTATCTCCTATCAATTACGCGAGAAACCGCAAAAAACCGCGAAAAAACGCGTTTTTTTCCTTATCGTTTTTTCACGGAACTGATAAGAGTTAACGAAATAACGACACTGCGCCTTCTTGACAGTTCTCATATATATGAGCCCAGAAGCGCCAACTGGTGCAAGAACATGTAATAGAACCGTTGTATACCAATAGTATTCAGACGCTTACACGTTGGGTATACTGTTATTGACTGTTTTGAATAGTAGCTCTTTCACATAAAAACATAAAAATCTGCTTGCATTACACTGATATCTCTCTTATTCCATTGATGATTTTTCCAAAAGAGAAAAAAAAATATTTCAAGCCTCAATTGCACAGCATATCACTATTAGAATCATTGTGTCGACATGAATCAACCAATAAACAAACCAAAACAAACACAAACCACACAATGAAATACCACGTTTGTATAAATATAGCAATCACTTGAAGAGAAAAACTCAAAAAAACATGTTTCAATAAAAAACAATATTCTAATATTTTAGAAAATATAAAATTAAATGAAATTTTTGTGTTTTCACGTGTTTTCATCAACATGAATAACTGCGACAAATGTCACTTCATGTTGTCATTGAAACAATCGGAACGTGGAACGTCAACAAATGAACTGACATTTGTTCGCAATTCTTAAGTTACTCTTGTGTTGACAAAAGCACGCAAAAACACGAGAAAAATGTTTGATTTTACGTTTTAAAATAACAAGATTAAATTCTTGCATTAAAAAAAAATTATTCGCGCTTTTTAATAAAAATAAACTCAAAATATTTCTTGAGAACAGAAAACCGCTCAATAAGCAATTGACACATGTATATATGTATACAAATATATAGCTTTTGAGTTTGACGTACGTTGTGCTTGTAGTACTTGTTCTTGCACCAGTTGGCGTTGACGTAAGAAGGCATAGCGTCGCGAAATAATGAATCGGAACAATTGTAGTACTCAACCAGAAATACAACTTTGCCTTAGACGCCATCTCGTTATCTCTTATCAGTTCCGTGAAAAATGATAAGGAAAAAAACGCGTTTTTTCGCGATTTTCTGCGGTTTCTCGCGTATTCCATGAAACTGATAAAAGATAACGACTTGGTAACTTCGGCAAAGTTGTAGAGCAGCTTGAGTACTACAACTTCACCACAGACATCAAGTCGTTATCTCTTATCAGTTACGCGAAAAAACGCGAAAAATTCGAGTTTTTGATAATCATTTTTCGCGAAACTGATAAGAGATAACGATTTCATGTCTATGGTGAACTTGTAGTACTCAAGCTGCTCTACATTTCTGTCGAAGAGGCAAGTCTCTTACTTCTTATCATCTTCACTAAAACGATGTGGGAAAATTTTGCGATTTTCGCGTTTTTTCGCGTTTTTTGCGGAACTGATAAGAGATAAGCAATATTTGTTACACCAAAATTATAGCAAACTTTGAGTATTACATCTTTGTTGCAGACACTAATTTGTTATCTCTTATCACAGTCCAGATTTCATATGAAGTATCTTGGGGGCCCTGGAGTCCCCCAAGAACAGTAATATGTTGCAAATATGAAGAAGAGTCATAGTGTTAAGCAACAAATTGAAGTTTCAGTGCAAATATTGTATTTTTGGGTCATACATTTTTTGTTACCTCTCGGATTTTTACCCCTCCGAATAATTTTTTTTTTCAAATATTTTGGTGTGAAAAAATATTTGAAATACTTTTAACACTATTAATAGCCGGAATGGAGTTTAGCATCAATTTCCTATGTGATAGGTATAAATTTTATCAAAAAATTTGGTCTTATGACTAGACCTCCCAGATGCATTTCGGCTCAAATCGGGAATTTTGTTGCTCAAAAGCGGGAAAAATGGGTCGAAATCGGGATTTTTTCAGTATCAATAATTTCACTGTAAAATGCATCTGAGAGACCTAATTTAACATTACCTTTTAAGCTGAAGCAACAAATTTCCAGAACAAATGACTCGAAATAGATAACTGTAACAAAAAATCATTGACGATGCAAGAAAGAAGAAAGAAGAAAACAGTATTTTTGTGTATTCAAATACATTTTTAATTTCGCATGTTTTTTTTATTTTAATCAGTAAACGATAAGTTCGTACGTAAATATAATATCGTAATCATCAAAACTGAATGTAAACATCAGAGGTCAGCATTCTCGTCACAGCATGTGTTTGACTTTTTTGCGTCCTATATTAGATATTCGATCTATAGCTTATGAAATCACACGACACACTGATTGAAATTACAATAAGTGTGAATCGCGACAAGCAAAACTGCAACAATACATAATTGTTCTGGTGTTGGAGACAGCATGTCTGGCAATGCATACTGATTTACATACTCATTCCAAACAAAAGACCCGAGTATACAGTTTTTGTTTATTAATCGATATTTTGTGTAATCTTTTGTTCAATGCACGTTTTACTTAGTCGCCATGACTCAAAATCTGGAGACATCATTTTTGCTGACAAATGCAAAATCGACAGATGTTTTTAAAGCTTTTTGGAGAAAAAAATCACAACGCAATTGGCCCACATTTGATTGTTGATATCAATGTATTTCGTAATTCAAATTCTGAGAAGTTATGAAAAAAAGAGATTGATTATTCGTAAGTGAAAAAACGATTTATTTGTATACCATGAAGAAATTTTAAGAAAAAAAACTTAAATCAGGAGAATTTTGGCCCAGATCGGGAATTTGGTCCAATAATCGGGAAGGCGAGAATCGTGATGAAAATCGGGAAATTCTCGCCTAGAAATCGGGAATGAGAGGTCTACTTATGACGAAAATCCATTTTACCCCTCGGATTAAATCCATCCCGAACAACATAAATTGGCCGTTAATTTTTTATAATTTTTATTTGGGAAAACTAGCATAACATTCACTTTCCAAATCATAGCATTTGGAAATTGTAGTGCCTTTTGTTACATACGAATGTGCAACGATCAATTTGGCTGTATCGTCTCGGCACGACAATTTTAAAATATTTGGGTACGTTTTTCCGGAGCAAACGAAATATTTGAAAATTGTCGTGCCGAGGTGGTGTAGAGACTATACAATTCGGGCACGACAATTTTCTCACATTTTTTGTTAAATTTGTTTTTATCAAAAAAGAAAATTATTTCTTCTTGAATTACTTGATTTTCTTGATTCAATGATGAAATCCAAAACAACATGGAAAATTTTGAAAATCACAGATTTCCAAGAGCCGTTCATATCGAATTCGTGTTGGATTCATGTGATTCGTCTTAGCTGACTATGTTCATTTTCAGATTATTTTCATTTTTTGCGGACCTTATAAAAGATAAGAGATAACTGTCCACAGCAAGGTATATAACTGGCGAAGACTTCAAACCGTTGTCTTCTATTAGTTCCATAAAAAACGCTAGGGGCTGGGAACAAGTTGTGAGATTCACATAGATTCGCATATATTCATGCGTTCGTGGCTTTGTTATTGTTGTTGTACACTCACTGCGCTGCGAATGTCTCGTATACACAATCACACGAATTCACAAATATTCGTACGGATTCGTCTCAAGCGCTTGTGTTCTTACCCCCTAGAAAAAACGTTTATTTCAACATAAACGGTTTTAACTCAAATCCACCCACAATTATTATTTTTTCACCGATTTTCAAAATATTGCTAAAATATCTTATTTAAATGGAAAAATAAGATCTGCATACTCATTTTTTTCAATTGTCCACTAGTTTTCCCGGAATTCTATTTTGATTTTGTGATTTTCAGTGCAAAATCGACGAAAAAAAGTGGAAATTAAAAAAAAAAGACGCAAAAACTCACTTTTTCAACAAAATAAAATTATGAAGTGCTGTAACTTGAAAATAATTCCAACAACTTTAGATCCGTCAGGATCACTGAATAGTGGCATCCTTTAAGAATCAGCGGTTTATGATCCTTAAAGGATGCCACTATTCAGCATAATGATATTATCACTCGTTAAGTTTTTTTTACCAAGGTTTGTTACTTGTCAAAAAGCGTTACATATATGTAACACGGGGTTGATTCGAGTTAAGTTCAACTTCGATAACTTTTCTACGAAAAAATAGTTCTCTTTGAAAATATTGAAAACTAATTGATAAATATTTATTTTCAGGCTCCATCCATCAAGGACACAATATGGTAAATATATCCTTAAAAATAATAAATGCAGTATGAATATTATAATATAAAAAAATGATATAATTGGGCTAACTAAATGAAAGAATTCACAAATTCTAGAAACGCTATTTCGTTATAAATTTTTCATTCGCAAGAGTAAGGAATCGTAGAGATTTGATTATAATAATCAGAGTAAAATCATGATTTTCGTAGACAACATTTGAAAAATCCATTTGTGACATTGGACACTTGTATAAATGTTTTGCTTGGCCCTATTTATAACATTTTTTAAGCAATCCGAACGAAAATAATTGAATTAGGAACTATCTAATCATCAAATGAATTAGGAACTATCCAATTTGGGCTATAGAGGAAACTGTTCCTTATACACTTTTAGACTGATTATTGAACAATTATGCCTGATCCAAAATACAAGATAATGCATACAGCGGTAGCATCCAACATCATCCAAAATTGTTGAACATTTGTTTTGTATTTAAAATATCAGAGCAACTACATTTTTGTTGTTTGGTGTGTACGACGCCCTACTTCGATAATCTCTACCAGTGATTGAAATAATGAAATCCGTTTTTTAAGTGTAAGCATATACCTCATAATTCAATGCGTTTGTACATATAATGAGGAAACGTCCACCAGTTTGATGCCTTAAACATAAGATAACACAATCTACTGTATATTATTACTTTCATAAATTTGAACTTTTCACTCTCCAAAAGCCAAATGCGTTTTTATGTCTATGCTTGGCAATCGCAATTCCTTATTTCAATCAACTATAGTGCATTGTATATGTCCTCACTTAATTTTCATACAAATGGAATTTTATCAATTTCCATTAGACTGTATTAACAACACAACGTTTATTTTTGTAAAACCTTAAACCCATTGATTTTGATATGGATGCCAAAAATGAAGTTAACTTCTGCAATATTTAAAGAACCATTCAAAATGTACAGTTTTGGCAGTCTCCAATTGAAAGTGGTTATTTATTTGTCAGCGAAAAATCAAAATGAAAAAAGTGTCATGGTGATCATAGTACGAAAAGTGGGGTTTTAACGGAAATGTTAAGACCCTTGATTCTCCGTAGAAACTTCGGCAGACTGTAAAACAGAGCTAATGTGAATGATGCATCTTTGAAAAACGCGAACATTATGGTCATGTGAACTTTAACGGCTCCTTTGTCAGAATTAACAGATATTCTGGATGTCATGAAATATTTCCAGCCTACAAATATTATACCCAATTTGCATGCGTTGTTGCGTTTACTTACATGCGTTGTTGTGTTTTTCTGAGTTTTGCACTTTCTTTCCACTTCATACACGGAAATTACAATCCAAGAATGTTAATTCAAACGACCACATCTAACAAAAAGAATTGGTTGAGGCATCACTTATAGTAAATTTCTAGATATACCTCAATTATTCGTTATTTTATCAATCACACTATCTATTGAGAAACATGAAATCGGTCATGAAATTGCTTCGATAATACAATCTCAAATATTTTTCGACACCTTGAAATAGTCTATGAGCAATTGCGTTCAATTTGATACACAATAGCGTTTGTTGTGTGATGTGAGTTGAAACGGCTACAGGGTATAATTTCCCCGGTCATAATTCCACCGAATTTCGGACCAAAAATTTCCCCAAAATCCAAAAATTCATCTCCATTCATTTTGTATGAGGGAAGTTATGACCGGGGAAAATATGACCGTCACCAGTTGAAACAAAAGCTAAACTAATCGGAACAATTTGTGTCCTTTTGTCATTTTCATATTTGATTGAATCTTTTTCTTTTCTCATTGCTGAAATTACAATACACTGAGAAAAGATTTTTTGAAAAATGGCTAGTTTCCAACCTTTTTTATATGGATATTGTGAATTGTCAAAATTTTCTGCAATATGATATTACCAAAAAAGTTAGAAATAATAATCTCAACCAAGGGCAAAATAATGCAATCTAGTACAAAAATAATCCCAAATAATCCTTCGGAATTCTCAATAATGCTCAATAATGCTATTCATAATACCAATAAATAATAGCGAACTATGGTCAAGTAATTGATACTTGCGTGCATTTGAATGCCTTGAAAACAAAGTGGGTCGATTAGATATGAATTGGTGAGACCAAGAAGAACACAAGTGTCAAACGGCGTAGCAATAAAGAGAAGTATATTTTACTGCAACTAACAATGGTTGAAAGAATGTATGTTAATTTTTGGCGGGTCGTCCCGGTTTTTCACGGTTTCCGCGTAACTGATAAGAGATAACAACTAGTTGTCTTCGAAAAAGTTGTAGTACTTGAGATCTTCTATAACATTGCTGAAGACAATTATCTCTTATCTCTTATCAATTGGGCGAAAATCAAAAACATCGGCCTATGTCATGTTTTTTTTATCATCCTTCGCGTTTTCTGCGAAACTCATAGGAGATGAGTTAGAACTGTTGTTCAGCGAAAAACGCAAAAAATCGCAATTGTACAACAAAATTCGTGTTTTTACCCGGACCGATATAAGAGAGATACTCGGCGTCTTCAGCAAATTTATAGTGCTTGAGGCCTTTCGCAACTTTGCTTCAGACAGTTTCCACTCATCTCCTATGAGTTTCGCAGAAAACTCGAAGGATGATAAAAAAACATGCCATAGGCCGATGTTTTTGATTTTCGTCCAATTGATAAGAGATAAGAGATAATTTTCTTCAGCAATGTTATAGAAGATCTTGAGTACTACAACTTTTTCCAAGACAACTAGTTGTTATCTCTTATCAGCTACGCGGAAACCGTGAAAAACCGGGACGACCCGCCAAAAATGAACATACATTCTTTCAACCATTGTTAGTTGCAGTAAAATATATTTCTCTTTATTGCTACGACGTTTGAAAAACTTGTGTTCTTCTAGGTCTCACTAATTCTTATATCTAACTTTGTTTTTAAGGCATTCAAATGCATGCAAGCATCAATTGCTTGACCATTCGCTATTCTATTCGCTATTATTTATTGATATTATGAATAGCATTATTGAGCAGTATTGAGAATTCCGAAGGATTATTCGGGATTATTTTTGTACTAGATTGCATTATTTGAATTGAACCCGTGAGCATAAAAACAACGTATTGACTCTTCGCCGATGAATACGAAACGCAAAAAAAAACGCCGAACAAAGTGAAACACCAATCTGTTATTGGATCAATATGAAGCATGAAATCGTTGGCTACTATTTTATTCACGTTGCACTTTGTTTCGAAGCGCGGCAAGTGTTTCATTTTGTTCCAGTAACAGAACGTTGTATCACTTTGTTCGGCGACGCGCTCAATGTACTGTTTTGGAAAAATATGCATGATTTGATACAGTTTTGAGTCCATTGGTATGATGATTCATTTTAACACAACACCCATTCTATTTCGCTCACACTTACGTGCACTTTAACGTTGCTGAAACATGTACGTTCTTGTTTCTTTACTGCGCACATCTTTTTAACAGTGAAGCAGACTACTTTGTTATACGGGTAAAAATTGCACGTAAGTGTGAGCGAAATAGAATGGGTGTTTTGCGTCCGTGTTTTGGCCATGTATAGATTTCACTATATAAACCAATGTATTCACAGCGGCGTGAACCCGCGTTCCGAGGATTTCATACAAACTTCCCATGTAGACGATCCGAAATAGGCAACAGTCGAAAAAAAAAGTTTAAATTTTTTTTCGATTTTCATATAGTATTTTTTTCTGCTCTATTGGTGTTATCGACACATCGAAATTCGCGCTCCTTATCAGTTTATTTTCACTTCATAAACAAATCACGACCAAAACCACCATTAAAATGAATCATCATACCAATGGACTCAAAAGTGTATCAAACATTTTTGTTTCAATTAAAGTGAAACACAATTTCTATAGTCAGCCGATATTTCACGATTCACTTTCAAGCGAACAGAATTTATGTTGCACTCGCACAAAACTGTATCGAATCATGCATATTTTTTCAAAACAGTACATTGAGCGCGTCGCCGAACAAAGTGATACAACGTTCTGTTACTGGAACAAAATGAAACACTTGCCGCGCTTCGAAACAAAGCGCAACGTAAATAAAATAGTGGCCAACGATTTCATGTTTCATATTGATCCAATAACAGATTGGTGTTTCACTTTGTTCGGCGATTTTTTTGCGTTTCGTATTCATCGGCGAAGAGTCAATACGTTGTTTTTATGCTCACGGGTTCAATTATACAAATCTAGTACTTTCCCCCTTGATCTCAACCTTTAATGAGTTTGATGTAAGTGTTACTCAGGGACTCTTTCACTCGGGCTCTAGAGCGCCAAACACTCTTGAGTATTTCCATAAAAACCTGTATCGGAACATCTGAAATCAGACGATAAGCACTCAAAGAAAACTTCGATACATACTTAGCATTTATAAAAAGAAAAAGTGAATCGAACATTCCGATTCGCTTCGCTCACCATACAAATACCATTTCTTTTGGTCCTTCTTCAAATTTGAAGATTTCAAAAATATTTTGTGCTTGGGTGCAAGCGAAGCAAAAAAACTATTGCCGTTAATTCTAGTGAGTAGTAATTTTATAAAAGTAAACATGAACGTTTTGGCGTCGAATACGGACAAGCTTTGTTTGAAAAATTGTCGAGTAAATTATTAATATTATGAAATTAATAACTAAGCATCCTATTCTTGCACCTAGTTTAATGACTACTAATGGTTGTCAAACCCGTTGTAAAGCCATGAAAAATCTTCCAGAACCAGTCCAATCTGTTGTGTCTGAAAACGAATTTTTTTAAAAATGTCTTGTGTTACAGCAGCAACGCAACATCCACCGAAGCAATCAAATTCAAAATTCACAACCGCAAATACAGTCTCAGATGCAGCCTCAAGTACAAACTCACTTGCAACAAATACCACAGCGTGGGATGAACAGCACAAATTCACAATCACAAATGCATACAAACCAAACACAACAAATTTTATCAAATCAATCGCAACAGGTACATCATCCACAAAATCAACATCAACAGGTGATGAAAATTAGATAATTTTGATGGTGGAAGTCAGCCAAAGTCTTCGTTTTTTCTCAACGTGTTGATCAAAACACCCTTTCAATTCAATTACAGTCGAAGAAAGCTCGATATTTCCAAGCAATGTTTGATTATGATCCTAGTACAATGAGCCCAAATCCAGATGGCTGCGAAGAAGAGTTACCATTTCAAGAAGGAGATGTAATTAAGGTAGTTAAGAGACAAAATTATTCTCCAAGTGTATATGTGTATATGTGTATATGTGTGTTTTCTTCTGTCTTGTTGTCTCCGTAATATCTCGTTTCTATTATATTGCAAATTTTCATTGCAAATTCAGTATTAGTTTTGAATGCAGTCAAACTGAACACTACACTATTGAACAATTGCAATTACTATTATTACATTGAAAATATTGGATGTTGATAACAATGTTTAATATAATCCCGACCGAAGCTGATTCACCTCAGGTTCCTTTCTCGGTAGGGATTATTCCGGTCATGGTCATGGTCATCGTTGGTTCCGTTCAATGTTGAATAAAAGTTTCTTTATAAGCTCAGAACTATTACAAAGAAATGAAATTTCAGCTTTGAGGACATTTCAATAAGGTATATCAGATATGTACACATATTACGGTGCACTGTACTCATAAATATTAGAGGGCTTATTTCTTTATAGCTATGCCGTAATAATGCTTAGGTTCAAGTTTATTTATCAAAATCACAGTTTTCTCCCTCAAAAATGGACGGTCAAGATAGTGTAGAGTTGCCAAAAAATGGGAATATTTTACGATTTCCATTAAATTCATACCATACCGTCTTGTATTAACACCAGTGATGGAATGGCATACGCCACCGTAGTCCATTCACTGGTTTATGCAGAATGTAAGCGTAAGCCAACCATAAGCAATGAATGCGTTTAAATACGTTTGACGTCATTTGACATCTGGATAATTTGTGTTGACTTACGCCAGCTTCTAACAACACTGATTAACACTCTAAAACTTGTTTACATCAAGTTTTGGGAGAGCAAACAATTGAATATGTCGATACATGAAATTTGGCCTACACATTGAAAAGGAATAGCTAAAGGGTGTTTCAACAAGCTCGCAAAAAGATATTTTTATTTTTATTTTATTTGTTAAATAAAACACACAAATTCGATTCGAATTGCTCAAACCTTCATTGGATGTTGTAGTTCGGTCCATTACAAACATGTTTCAAAGTGAATATTATGCAAATGACTGTATGGCGCATTTTAATTATGGCCTGTTTTAGGGCCAAATTTCACCAATTTTTTTTGTAAAAACGGCTCGAATAATGGTATAAAAATGCATTAAATGTGGACTTACACATCTCAAAACGCAGCTATGGCACTCGCAGTTAACTAATCTATCACCGAACAGCCAAAACAATGGTCCAATTTTGAGTAATTTGTGAATTGAGTGTCCAACCTATGCATTTGGCGTCCAAATTTTCGGACATTTTTGAAGCTCGATTCAGATTAAGTTGTTTTTTGACGTATTTTCAAGGACATATCATCGTTGAATCGAGTTTTCTTTACAATCAATGCCCCCAGCTGTCATTTGAGAGTATAAAGAGATTTTTTTTGTAATTGGCCTTCGGGCAGAATGTTAGCGAATCATTGCACGCGAACATTATGTAAGCAGATTCGTTAGCCGAATACGATAAATAATAAATAAATAAATAATAAAGCCTAATAATTGCCAACGCCATTTTATGCAAAATTGGCCAAAGTCAGCGATGATGGCCAAAAACGGCGTATATAGCCAATATATAAAAAAACGGTGCGGAATTTTGCTTTTGTTGTTGAGGTGAATTTTTGGCTCAAACTAAGATAAAAACTTTTAAGAATAAAAAAACGAGAAAAATTAGTTTTTAAGAGGTAAAACGCAAGATTTTAATTTTGAATTTTTAAGAACATTGTGATTTTTTTGAAATTGAAAAATATCCCCATTTTTGTAGTGGAATTTCACGATTTGAACGCGCCAATTTTTTGTCAATAAATCTGTCATAGACTGAGGCTTTCAAATGACAGTTCCGGTCAGCCATCTTGGATTCCCTATTGAAAAACTTTTTGCGTGCCTGTTGAAACACCTTTTAGATGGAAACTGATACGGTTGTTAATTTTTTCCCTATCCTTCCACTGATAAACCATCATAGGTATCTTAGTATTTAAGAGTGAGAGGTATTTCACACAGTATAGTGTGAGCACTCATCCAAATATACCACCACAAAAATGCATGCCCCAATAACTAGTCTGATTTATTCTAAACACCCCCGAAGAACCGACAGACTCCAACAGCCTCGGGCGTCCTGTGGCCTTTGCCGTAATTGTTTGAAATCGAGGCGTACTCGGAAGTTTACTTCCATCCAAACTCCAAATTTCAATCCTATTCTGTTCTTAGTTTGCATTTCTTGTCACTTTTCTTACACAGTAGATCACTTCTTCAAAAGACAATAAAATTAATTCTTTATGTTTATGTGTACGAGTGTCTAAATGTTGTGTGTTTTTGTCTTTTCGCTGGAATATATGGAAAAAGTCACTACCGTGCGTTTTAAAAGCCTACCCGGTCACACAACAAAAATTGATTTTCAAATTAATGTAATATTGACGTAATTTCCACTTCCGTTTCAACAGAAAATAGAAAATAATCGCTTCCAACTGCCGCTCTACAATATTCTTATCATGATCCGGAACACATGACGAATGTTATTGCATGAAATTTTGCATTTCAAATTACAATTAGTTTTTTTTTCCTCAGATTGTGTGATCTTTAAATACGTTCAGTATGGTTGAAAGAATGGGTTTATTTCATATAGTCTGGTATCTCTACCATCCTTAAAGCCAATGTAACAATCTGGAAATGCATACATATATGCAACATACGAAATGATGAAAAATAGATAAATAGTAATTAAAATTTGTAACCAACCCAGACTCTTATTCGTTTACAAATTGTAAATTACAATCAGAATCAAACACGCGCAGGGTGTTGGTTTCCGGTTTTGCCCTCATCTGGCCATTTCCCTCCATCGAATGGTTTTCATAGAAGTGATAATATTTTTTTGGTCTTCACTTTTTTCCTGAGAGCGGTTTACACTAGATAAAATAGTTTTCAAAATTTGATTTTCTTCAAGCCTTTTTTGTTACAAAGGAAAATATTACTGTTTGGTCTTCACAAGGTGTTCAAGACCTCCAAGAAGAATTTGAGACGTGCGCATGTCTGAATCAGAATCGCGTGTTGCAAAATTAGTTCGGTATCGTTTCGAGTATCGAGTAATAATAAAAGAAATCTAACTAATTTAGTAAAATTGGGTTATGACTTTTGAGGCGCACTGTAGACTGACGATGAAACGATGAAAAATTACCTGTTAAAAGATACCTTATGGTAGTTTAATGCAAACTTGAACAACCAAAATTTAAATTATTAATGAAAATTAAAGGTGATAGGTGATAAGGATCAAGATGGTTTTTACTGGGGAGAACTACGAGGTCGTCGTGGTTTCGTACCGCACAATATGGTGTCGGAGATGGATGAAAATCCAGTTGGGCCTCAAGGAGCAAACACAAGTGGAACAATGGGAATAGGCCGGAACACAACTGGCACAGGTAGCGGTCTTCAACAAAGTGTGCGCAACGTTAGCCGCGAACGATGGGGTGATATATATTGCAATATGCCTGTGAAACGAATGATTGCGCTATATGATTACGACCCACAAGAACTTAGTCCGAATGTTGATGCTGAAGTACGTTTAAATAATCATATTATTTTCTATATCGCTATCCTCGCAAACACAAACACTTTTACACTGAAACTCACACTCTCACTAAAAAACTGAACGATAGGCGGATACATACAATAACCTTCCAATCTGTTTACCGGCCTGAAAAATGTGTTGAGAAAATAATATTTTTGATATGTCTTATTTTTCTATATCGAAAATTCCGTGCCAACAAATCAAATGCCAAATGAAGCAAGTGGAATTATGTTTTAAAACTGGCGAAGTAATTCTTGTATATGGTGACATGGATGAAGATGGATTTTTTATGGGAGAATTGGATGGTGTTCGTGGTTTGGTGAGTTGCATTTTGAAAAATTCTCTGTCGATGTTACACTTCAAAAAAAAATCTTTCGTTTTTGTATCGTTTAAATATACTGTCAGAATACGTATTATTTCCAATCTCAATGATTCAATTTTGGAATTGTTGAACACATTTTTTTGACTTTTTCCAATAACACGGTCTTCTTTCAATCTCACTCATAGATATGAGTTGAATTTCGTGAAGTTGATCATTATTTGATATTTATAGAATACGGAACTTTGATAAACGTGTACCAAGAGGACGTGCGTGCGTGCACGCGCGTGCGTAATCGCACCAAAACGTAATTTAAGCGTCTGAACTGTTTCAAACAGATTTAACTCGAAATTGGGAACAACAAATGGCGTTTGTTTTTGTTTTATTTTTCATTTTCCTTTGACCGCATTGTTTTCCGTGTGTTTTTTTTCTCTGTTTTGTCTCTCTTCTCTATGAACTGAAACAAATGCCGTCCTAGACACTCAATTTTCGAAGCCTACAAGAAAATAAATCACAAAAGAAATTGTCGTCAGCGATCGTAATATGCGGTTGTTGATTTTTGATCGATTTGAACGTCTTCCTTCAGTCGCTGATTTGCTTATTTACCAATTAGGTACCATCCAATTTTCTGACTGAAGCACCTGAACAATATAACAATCAGACTGGAAGTGCAAGTACAAGTGGAGTTAATACACAGAGAAACCAAAACTCTACCAATACTTCATTAAATTCAAATCAGCGTAACAGTCAACCATCTGGGCCAGGCGCCAGAGGACCACCTCCACCACCACGCGAAATTGGTTCCATAGGTAAGTCAGCCTTTTCTAGTGGAAACGGCAGATCAATTTGTGTAAACGATTAAAAATACGTGAATGTGTTGATGTTAAGTTAAGATTATGTGGTTCATAAGCCCTAAAATCGAGAACCTATAAATCAAATGATCTGACAACATTCAAACTACGCAGGTGTTAGTCCAGGTATGATGAATTCTGGATTAAATCAGTTGACTCAACGCCCAGGTCTAGGGAATGCAGTTGGCGGTAGTTCCATGCGAGGTACGTCTTCCCTCCTTATTCGATAACTTTGAAATCTTTTATGCGATCAGAGAATCACATACGAGTTGTATACAATACAAGATCCGACCACCACACATCATACCGAATGGAGTCCCAATAAGGTTCCACCTCCAATATTTCATTTAAACACTAAATCATCACTCATATTTGAACCCGTGAGCATAAAAACCAATTACAAAAAAAATCGCCGATCAAAACGTAACATAGATTTGTCGGCGTAACATACCAGTGTACAATTTGTTCCGAATTGAACGAGGTGTTTCGCTTTGTTCGGCGACGTTTTTATAAGTCGTTTTTATGCACACGGGTTCATTTGAGGTTTATGTATAAAATGAGTTTATGAAAAATCCATATTAAACAAGCATCTGTACCGCCAGAAATGATCATAGTTTAGTGAATCGAAATCGAAGAATCGATACTTGAGAAAACACACACCATGAATCTTCGCTCAACAAGAATGTAACATGTATTAAAGTACGCTTTGATGTAACTCTAATTGAGTGGTTTGGAGCGAAAATGTAATACAGAAAAGATACGTGGAAAAATGTCAAATGAAAAGAGATAGCTATATAGTGAACAATAGTTTACTATACAGTTATCTATAGCTATCCCTTTTCCACTCAGCTGGCCTTTCATTTTTCGCACGATTGAGTAAGGCCTTTTTGGGCCGTTGTCAATCGGCTTCCATTTACTTATTCATAAATCAGTCTTATCTTTTAATTAGTCGAGAACCAAATTTTATGTAGAACTTAGCTAACTATCGTTGTACCCTAAACGTTCCTGTACATACAGTCATGGAAATTTAATTAGGACCCATTTAATAGATTTCAAATTTCATAATAAATTCGAAAAGTTACAGACCAAACTATGATTCTTCCACGATTTTTCATACAAAAAATGCTATAAAGTTTAGTTTGGTCTGTAACTTTTCGAATTTGTTAAGAAATTTGAAATCTATTAAATGGTAATGTGCAAAAAATGTATTTCAATTAAATACGACCATCGGTGGAGTGAATTTTGTCAAACAAATGATAAATTTTCCGATTTTTCGAAAAAATTTGTCATTTTTTGTATGGAAGGTCTTATTTATTTTTCCCGCAGTTTTTGGGCAATTTCATCAATAAATGATATCCATTACCGAAAATAATGAAATTGATAGTCTAGTCCATTTATAAAAACTTCAAATATTCTCATAAACATCATTTCATGAATATTTTTTTATAAAATAACAGAATTAATGGGAAAAAACTGAAATTTCAATGCCGGTCCTAATTAAATTTCCATGACTGTAGATGTATGTATTTGAAGCATACAGCGGAACAATGCCAAATGCAGGAATGTGACATTTGATCGCTTTTAAAATTTAATTGAAATAGTATATTATTCTGAACTATTTTCATGGCCATCATCTTATTAATTGAATTAGCGATTACTTTTCAACCGAAACCAACTTTGGTTCGTGCAAAAATATTCACTTCTTTTCAAACACTTAGATACAAAGCGTTTGCCACAGCAACGAACGCACCTTCAAAAATGTCGATGAAGTCATGTCAATGCATACAGTTCCTCCGCAAATAATATTCGCACAGCGTTCCTATACAAATCATACAACATAGCACTAATCTAAAATGTTCATATTGATTTTCACCATTGTTTCGACAAACTTAAAGCCATGTCTCAAGTTTTATTTTGAAAAAGAAATTCCGCGACATGAAACATCATCGAAATTCGGTCGTTATGATTTTTTATGCAGACTAATTCAGATTATATGTACCTACATAAAGTCTGCGTATCAATTTTGCAGATATTAACAGCATAAACTTTGCATATGGTCTGCAATAAAAGTCTACCCACTTTTGGCAGTATTTCTGATGACTGCGCAGCTTGAGCATAGGTACAAGCAGAAATTTACTTCTGTTTATTTATTGCCAATCAATTGCGAACCTTGTGCAGAGATTTCAATGTCTGTTGGGAAAGAAAATGTTTGTCGGGTTCGCTTCTTCGAGTTCATTTATTTGATTCATGATTATTCCCAGCGATGTATTTGCTTTCGCGCAATGAAATTTCATTTCAGTTAATTAGCTAAAATATTTAATCCTATCAAATTTATAACTGGTTACAAAAAACAATTTTTAGAAGTGAAAATCAGTAGTTTTTGGTCAGTTACGGTATGAAATTCATGTCGGAAGATAATTTATAATTGCTAAATATAATCGGATTATTTCAATATATAGCGTCTACTATTTGGAAATTCAATAGGTCATAATAATATAATAATGGTTGTCAATATCAGTTAAAATTTTGTTATTTAAATGTTGGTTACAACTTTGTAACAAAGAGGGTATAGACAAGTCTTAGCCATTCCGGACTGCCCAAGGAAAACACTTGTTCAGGTTAAGGGTTAATCGTTGATATTTTAATATATTTATACCAGTCAACGAATTAATTGAAGGAGATAGAAAGAAAGGAAGAAAGACAATTAAAATTTCTTATTCTTGTATAAGGAAACAGAGTTTTTTGCAGAAACTATAGTCAACAGTATAGTCAATATCTTGTTTTGAACTATAGCTAAATGACTTACAGTGCTGCTAAAATTAGTTGAACATATGTTCACATCCCGCAACTACCATCAATTTACTAATTTTGATTAGTACTTCAAACCAAAGTACTGGTCAGTACTTAGCCAAATACTAATTAAAAATGGCCAGGTAAATTTTGATTATGCACACAGCAAAATGTACTGTCATGCCTCATTAAAAAAAAATCCTATAGTATTCGCATTCTTAGCGATTCACTTTAAAATTAGTTGATAAATTGTAAAAACACAACGTCAAATTGTTCGCGAATCTCCTTGTGCTACTGCTATGAATGTGATATTGTAACTACCCAGAACAACTGATCAATGACATTTTCAAAAATCCTGACTAGCGCTTGCAATTCCTATTAATTTCTGGTGACATTTTGGTTAGATTGTGAAAAGAAGATATCTATTTAAAATTAAATTTTTGAAAAGACGAGTGTGGTTTTCTGTAACGTAAATAGGTTTGAGTGTAACTGTGATAAAGAGAGAATGTATTATACATACCGGATCGGTAGTACAGGACTTGCAATTTCATCTGGATTTGATCAAAAGTTTCACTAGTGTGAAAAGTAACACTCTACTTCATTCTCTATGAAAAATCAATGAAACTCTATGCATTAATTTTTGTATTGTGTTCAAAGGTGTCAAAGATCATGTGTATCATCGGTGATCATCGGTATTCTTTTAACAGTCAGAAGTAATTCATAATTTTAGTACTTCAAATACCACACAGTTCTACTTCAAAAAAGTTATCTCCTAGTGAAATTAAATGTCACAACAAACCCTCGAAGGTTTTTCCAGAGGAGTAGATCTTAAAAAAGAACAATCTTTTTTTTTCTTATTTCAACACCAGCAAATATAATTTTTTTTTGTATATAATTCTCTATGTATACGACTGATGAATTTTGTGTTGCTGTCGATTGAATTTTTAAAAAGCAAATATCTTTATTTATTCTGTTTGCGGAAAAGAAGAGTAAGTTTCTTTCCATTTTAGGTTTTCATCATTTTAAAATGGGAATAGGAGAGAATATGTTTATGTAGGCTGTAGTGGTTTTTCGAAATTCTCGGGAAAATATACTGTACATAAAGTTATAACTGTCTCTAGCAAAGTTATAGACGCGGTCGAGGAATACAGCTGATAACACCATTCCGTTACCTATTATCAAAAAATCGAAGATGGTGTAATACTGATTTCTGCTAGTTTGCATATTCTAGTGTTGGTGAAAATCCTGTTTCTCCCACAAAATAATGCTATAATTTCAAATACACATTGTTGTTCAACAACTAATGTATCCGAAAGACATTCTGTCTCTGGTTTAAGTTGACACAAAATAAATTTTACATGCTATCCTATTTAACATCATATGAAACGTTTTCTCTTTTATCACATATACAAACTGTCAAAATACATGTGCTCTCCTTCAACCATTTTAAAGTGGAAAAAAACTTACTCTTTCTCGTAACAAAGTCCATGAAAGACTCCCAAATCAGCCTAAAGATTTGAGTAACTTGCAATGAAAGTGGAATTACAAGAACAAGTGTGCTGAAAGCAACATAAAAAGCAAATTCATAAATACATGTTTCACTTTTACGAATTCGTTTTTTTATGTTGTCCTTTCGGATAATTATTCCTCCAATTCCACTTTTATTGCCAGTCAGGGTAGGTTTCCTCAGTATTATATAATTCCCAGCACTAGGAACTATTCTAAACTATCCTTCGGAAAACGAAAAATGATCTTTTCATATATACTTTGTTTATTTTGTTTTTGTTTTGTAAAATTTCAGATACTTATGTTCTAAATTGACTGCAGGCTAATTCTCACTAATAGAACTTTTTACTCGATGAATTGTCGGAACATAAATCGAGTGCTAGAAAGACGGAAGACAATCAATCTCCAAGTCCAACCACAATTCCAACCGATATTTGTTGATGTTTTACAAAACTTAGTTTAAAAAACATACACAAGATCAAAGAACGAAAAGCATAGTATATCCACAAAAGCATCGAGCAATCATTGCAAAACTTCAATGCGTATTGGAAAATGTGGTTAGGCTCAAGGATGAACATTGAAATATTTGTCTAGTTCACATTAACGCACTCGATCCATGTGTCGGAAGCTTTATGTGTTGAGTGTGCACAATATTTTGAAGAAGAAAAAAATGAAAATCAACTCTAATGTTTCTCTGTAACTTTGAATACAAACATCTGAAATCTACTGTTTCTGATCTGTAGGGTTCAATTTCGTTAACAATGTGCACCTCAATATTTGATATTAAAAAAAAACGAATATCAAGTATATTTTTCAGTCGATGTTTAAATATCACAAGTTCATTATGACTAATGTTGAACATAAGTTTCAGATCATAAACAGTTTTGGTTCACAGATTCACGTTGAACTTTTTAGTTTTGGCGAACAATTGTATTTTTTTCGCCTGCTCTTTACGTTGATATCGAGATTTTATTTTTATTTTTTATTTTAATGTTATAAGCTGTAAAAATCAATATTCTTGGCGATGATCACATGTGCGCGAATTCCATAATCCAATTGGAACTTTTATATAAAGTACAATTGTAGTAAAAAATTCGGTACATCCTTGGGCACATTCATTCCTTTCCGACTTACCTTTCATGATTTCCATAGTACGTGGATCAATGGAAAGTAGTTTGATTGAAAAAGCTAACACTTTGAAAACGTTTGCTTTTTCCTCAAACTTTCCCCATCAAATGTAATAATAATTTAAATATATTGAAATTATTTGGATAATAAAATTTGAAATTACATGTTCAAGTCGCGCCCATGTAATCAATCCGCTTTTTGCTATGCTGTGGTAAATGTCATGTCTTCATGTTGTTTGTTGCTAGATGCTCGTCCTACTTCCCCTTCACTGTTAGACAACACGGGCCATCCTGCCCACGAACACCAATCGCAGGTAACTAAAATCCTACTAAAAGAAACCGCTCTACTATGCTTTAACACATTCACCATTCTGAAGAAACCACATCAAACTCTTCTAACGAAAAGTCGTAATTTAATACTTGCAAAATTGATTCATTCGATCAATTATCTTCTGCATTCTTTATCATCAAAGAGTCAATCTACGAAAGAATTGGTTTGATAAAATGCAGATTTTGTTCATGCATGTGCATCCGAAAGGGGTCTTGTATAAAAGGTCAATATGAGTAAATATTTATTGTGCAGAACCTAGGGCATGTACGATATTTTTGTGAAAATTGGATGATCAACGTTATATATTTCACGGAACTATTTATTTTTTACCAAATGAGTGTGCAACTTAGAAAAGTTTTCGATCAAAACTGTTGATGCGACATATACGTGCGAAAAAATGTGTTTAAAAGCAATTTGAGATATTTTGAAAAATGGTTTTCTAAATGTTTCGCACATTTTGATATTCTACAAAGTTTTGAATTGAACAATGAATAGTATTTTATGTGGTCTTGATTTGCATATTTTCATAGTTGCATTTTCATTTAATTTGGCGAGACGTAAAAGGCTTAGAAGGCATTAGTGTCCAAGGAAAAGATCATTTGATTTTTCGTGCTTTCGTGAAAGGAATGTTCGTGGTCGAGTTAATTTAAATTATGTTTAAAGTTTGGTAGCTTTCAAACCGTCTGTTAACAAATAAACAAACGTACGTCGATAAATAATTTGTTGTTGTTGTTGTTGTTGTTGTTGTTCATTTGATCTATTGTTGAAGTTTCTTGTGGGGTTCCTGTCGTTTGTTGAGCTTTCTTTTTCATTGAAAATACAATCATGTGTTAATAAGAGTGAAACGGGCCTAAGTTACTCATTTTTGAATATTTTCGCGGATCATGACTTTTCAAATAAAACAAGATTAAAAAATGAGCGATATTCAAAACGAAAGCGAAAATTTCCGTGCGGCATATACAATATACATGTAAAAATTGTTCTTAACATTGGCTATATGTACACTGAGAAAATCTTTTCTGAAAAAATAACAGATGGCATTTGTAAATGGTTAGTTTCCAAACTTTTTTATGTGGAGGTTGCGAATTGTCCAACTTTTTCGGTAATATCGTATTGCAGAAAAAGTTTGACCATTCACAACCTCCATATAAAAAAAGTTTAGAAACTAACCATTTACAAACGCCATCTGTTATTTTTTCAGAAAAGTTTTTCTCAGTGTATCTATTTTGTGATAATATTTAAATTTTCGCAATGAATGAGGCTTCCTCTATGGTTAGAAATTGCTTGAAAACGAACATTCTTCTTTTGCCTACGTCTCACCAATTGGTGCGAAAATGAGAGTTTACCCGTTTAAGTTCAATAAATATCATTAATAAATACATTTGCTTGCATTTCTGTTTGTATATTAAGATTTTTTCTACGTGTAATTTCTGCCATTACATAAGCACCGGAAATAATTATGTTTTTGAAAATGTTGCTTCGAATGAAATTATTGACAAAAAATGTTTTAACTATTCAGAAGTGGATTATTTTAAGCAATTGCACTATGTGTAATCACACATTGTGTAATCTAATGATATACTAAAGGAAGAACAACACATGCAAATTTGAGCGGTAGAAAAATATACCTGAAATATAGTTGTGTCCTTATAATTTCTATGTTAGAAAAGAATGCCTTAGTGACTCAAGAGCTAAATATGCTACTTGGGTACCTTTCGTATAAAATGAACATATGTTCTTTCAGTTTCATTATCACTGTTGTTTCACGTTGAAGGTTTTACCATGTTACTCCAATTTTGGGCTAAGGTAAAACTAAAACTGATCACTTTCAATGTTTTATATATTCTCTTCGGCTCTTTAGGTATTGTGTTGAAATATTCACTCAAAAAACTTGCCCGATCTACCCAAATTTATAGTTACACTTTATAAATATAGTTTCGTTCGTTCAATGATGGAGGGTCGATATTTGAAAACCATCTAAAATGGGGTACCTTTATATACACCCCACCCATCCCTTCTTCGATTTTGATATAAAAGTTCCAAAGTTCAATCTCAACTTCCAATGTTTGGTTTCCGTGGTAGTGAGATTGACATGGAACTATAAAACACGTTACGTTCGTACGTATAATAAAAGATGCGGAAAAATTCAACAAATAAACGTTAGGATATATTTTTACTTTTCCCAACCGTTACAAACCTAGAAAAGTCAACACCAACAATTGAATTTTTACAACAAGAAAGAACAGATGACAAAACGACATTCCTGCTTCTCGACTAGATGCTCTAAAGTTTCCTACGTAATTCTGAGTATATTTCATGTGACAATATGAAATTTCTTAACTTCAAATATTATCTTTACCACCTTGGAAAGCATTCCGGATACATCCAATTAACATTTCATATCATTCAATCAAAAATGTAACCTAACAGTCCTTGAATATTGTCATAAAGTGAATATCAATGATATTAGAAAAATATGTGTGCAAAGGCATGAAGCCTATATTTCATGGCCATTTTTCAATAACTCTTACGTTACATTTTTCTGGTATTTTTCCTGAATGATATTGCACGTTTGCAAGCGAACCGTAAAACTTATGATTATATTAACATATAGTTTGGGTGATAGGAAAGAAGTTCCCAAAATTTTAAATTCAACCAATATGTGAATAAACAATTGAATGGTGTTTGAAGATGGAACTTTTGGTTGCACTTTTCAGAAAAATCTTGGAATGTCAGTTTTGATTGCCTTGGAAAAAAACGAACAACTAATGAAAGTTGGCAAATTTCAAACCTTTCAGGACATTTTAATGTTACTAATGGTGAAAAACTCATAACACAGAGCTCGAATTTCGAAAATCAATTCTGCATGTGTACGCGCTAATTCCACTGAATTTCCTTCTGAAATGCATGCTGCTGCATATTTACAATAAAACATATTTGTTCTTCAGTTTGGAAAAAATTTAGCCGATTTGTTGATTGTGTATCATAAATATATGCACAGCCAGGGAGAGTTGGCACAATTTTCTAGTAGTAGCTCCAAATTCGAAAATATATATTATTCTGCATCGTGTTCCGTCAGTTTACCAAAAGCTTAGATAATTTCAACATACTCACAACCTAAATGTATTTCTTCAAATCAATTCAATAGGAATTGAACGACATCGTGGAACATCGAAACATATCGTTGTATGCGCACAGAAATAACAGAATTTAAAGCATTGCTAGTCAAAAGACCTAGCATTTTATTTTCAGTTGAAGGGGAACGAATGGGATAAATTGGCACATTTTTTATGTCGTAAAAAGCTTTCGATTTGACACTCTCTATCTCTCTTCCTTCTCTTCTCTTCTCTTCTTTTTCTCTCTAAATTGCACTCAAGGAGATGGTCGGCTGAAGTAAGAGAGAAGCATTCATTTATTTTCTCAATTCAGTTAAGCATTTCCTAAAATTAGTCGAGTTTTTTTTGTTTAAGAAAGATTTTTGATTTTGAAATATTTTATATACGCAACATGAATCATATTGAAAAGAATCTTTAATCCGGGAAGTGTTCCCAACTTGGTTTTTACATTTTTCGAAATTCGATCGAAGTTTTAAAAAAATGTATTGGGCGGAGTCAAAGTAACTTATGTTTTTATGATTTGTGATTTGTGATGCATGTTTGTATGGTTTATGAACTTTCAACTTGCATATTTTGCGGCATAGGTAAAATTCTTAGTTCGTGAAACACTGAATTATTCACATAGGCTACTTTGACTTTGAACAATAGAATTATTTTTCAGAAAATTAGGTTTCCAGAGAAAACCAAGTCAGAAGTTATTCTACAGAGTCTACCATAGTCTTATGATAGCATTTGGAGTACTTTTTCAACTCATAAAGATCCACTAACCAACTGTAGACATGCAGGCGCATTAAGTTACAGATTCGTATTTTGTGGTAGATCACGTTACGTGACGTCAAATGAAGAGAGTTAAAAAACTAAAAATTTATGTCACACAAAATTAAATAAAACTATTGCATTGTTAATGAAATGATTCTGCTTCGCTCACATTGAAGTTCTCAAGCGGTGTATTCTTTGCCAAACTTATTACTTCAACTTCAGAGCCCATCGTAATATCATATGAATCAAATGTTGATTATTTCAAACAAATGAATAGGTTTTTTGCGTTCGTTGCAAAAGTACTATATCTGTTGAAAAAAACATTTTGAATCCGCCAGTTGGACAGTCAAATTTGGGTAGTAATTCTGAAACTACATTTTATGTTGCCTGGAATATCGGCATATATAGACTCTTCTCCTTAAACACAATGTTTGTTTGTTTGAGTATATATTGCATCAGCATAACCATCTCAGACATTATATTTCGGACAGAGAGTCCTGCATTCAATTGCCTCCGAAATTTGTTGCATTTTCTTCAATGGAAAATTTGTGGGATTATAACATTTTCCAAGAAGTGAAACATTAAAAAGTTTCGGTAGCGATTATGTCCACCATCGGTGGCGCCAAAATATGCAATTTATATAGTAAAACAACTAATAATGACTATGGTTGCTTTACAATTCGTTTACCTGATGCGTTTTGAGATATTTGTAAATGATGAACGCAAAAGTTTACATATCTTTTCTCATAATTCTCTGCAGCTATTACCTCTTTCATAACAAAGTCTGAATTTTTGTTTTAATTTGGAATTGCTCGGTAGAATAACAAAGCCCTAATATATGCTTGGATATTTCCTGATTGATTCTATGGTGATTAAAACGACGAATTCGTTCTACGATTTGCACTTGTTATCCTTTTTTCTCTCTTCTGTTTCTTCTTGTCTTATCACTCCGTGATTGCTTATCGCCCAATTTAAACTGAATTGAAATACACAGATGAATCGAAGCGGGATGGTCGGTGGTAATATGACGAATCAGCAACAAAATATCATGCAACATAAACCACAACAACCTTACTCGACACAATCGAGTGAACAACAACAACAACAACAACAACAACAACAACAGCAGCAATCTTCTGGTATTTTTTCCACAGCTTCAAATCTTTTGTCTGGTGCCTCGAATGCAGCAACTGGTGGTCTCTTTGGCAATCGTCAAAACTATCCTAAGGGTCCACAAGTTACACCGCAAACAGGAGGAACTATGTCGCAACAACAACAGCATCCGCAGCAACAATTTAACAGTAAGTCCGAAAATTGATATTTCTCACTAATTCTTCGTACAAAGAATTCAAAATAAAGAAAGTAATGATGCAGAAATGTTTGTTTTGAGGTCCTCTAACATCCTGCATTCAAAACCTCCATGTGCAAAATAACAACTTTAATTTTGTTGCACGGTGTTATAATAACACTGTTATTAAAGGAATTTATTGGGGATTATGCCAAGAATTACTGTATACTTAAAGCTTTAAGACGATTTGAATGGATTTCAATTTACATTATAAAATTGTCCCAGGAAAACATATTGCAAGAAAATTTAATTTTTACTTATTTTGGCTGTATTGGACTGTCAATATGGGGATTTTGTATCAAAACCTCGCGTATCGAACTCTCTGTGTAACCACTCAAAGAAAAATGTCTCAAAAATGTTTATTGACTGTTCGTTCTTGTATTGTCTTCACAATTTTTTTTAAGAATTCAATGTGCTTCTTTGATCATTATAACACTAATGAATAAAGAACCGTGTCTCATTTTGGGCTGTTTTGTACAGAGTTCTAATGTATACCGTCTTAAGGGGTATTGTGTATAGATAAATTATATACACAATACCCTTTAAGACGGTATACATTAGAACTCTGTAAAAAACAGCCGAAGCTCGGGAATTGTTTGGAACATTTTATTTGTCATTTCGGAAATAATTCATTTTAATTTATATTTACAACTGTTGGTGTTGAACTACTTACTTAGCTATAACTAAGTTTGGCTTTAACTGATGTTATACTCGATTAAAATTTGCAAAAATATGGTGGAATACTTTCTGTTCATAGTTCGCAGTTGATATATGGATACTTTTATTTCATTTCATTAGGTGGCAATACTAGTGGTGGAAGTATTTTTGGTTTCGGTAGTCAGCAAAATCAACAAAATCAGCAGAATCAACAGAATCAACAGAATCAGCAACATCAACAATCATTTAATAATAATATGCAACAAGGCGGTGGACCAGGACAGCCGAACTTAATGCAAAAATTAGGTAAAGACGTAAAGTCTATGAGCATTTTTTATCGAAACTCATAAATTTTGTTTCCATTTTATGAACAGGTGATATAACAGCGCCTGGTGGTGATATTTTATCCAAAGGCAAGGAACTGATTTTCATGAAATTCGGACTGGGAGGCAAATAGCCTTGTTGTTTAATATTATTAGTTATAGCCAAATGAATTGAAGAAAACGAATTAAACTTAATTGATCAATACCGAATATGTAATATGCGATATCGAAACATTCCGTACATTTCAAACACTGAAAATTGTTGTTGAACTATTGTTAATCAGTTTAATAGATGTTAAGTAGTGGGAAGAGTTATTTGATATAATTGTACGTCGCTTTGTTCAAATTTACAGAAGTCTTGCAATTTCAATTTGATCATATTATACACTATATAATTTATGGCAAACAAAATGTACAATTAACCTTTAAATTAATGAGTCTTCAATCGACATCTACACACCTCCAAAAATGAGCAGTATGCCCAATACAATACAAAAAGTCTAAATATGAAAAAAAATCAAGTTATTTCCATCATCCAAATCACAACAAATACTTGTCTTTTCTTCAAAAGTGGTATGGATTGATTTGTTGTAGTGAACATTTTTTTTTGCTTTATAACTACAATTGTTCAAAGCCCAAACTTTCAGTTGTACTTCATTCCAAACCAATTTATCTATTATTATCATTTCTACACTTTTCGCTATCACAAAATGAATGATAAAAATTCTGAGTGCGCAGGCATGAATTGTTTGAGCTGCTAAACGTTTGCGATTGAAGACAATAGAAGAAGAGCTGTGTGTAGCAAAATATAAGAAAGACCATTTCCAATGCGTGGGGAAACGATTGTATACAATTCCGATATCTATGCGCGCATCGTTAGAATGTTTTCTCAAACATTGGTTGACACCTATCAAAAAATATTTCGACAGAGCATTTTGTAAAACAATGTGTTAAAACATTCAACTCATCCAATATTTGATATTTTTTACCAGTAATAGAACAATTAGTTAAACCGCTGAGAATAAAGTAAGAGCCTTATGAAAAAACAAACTTGCAAAGACGGGACTTGCATCCGTCCAGCCCAAAAGAAAACTCTTCGATGAAATTAAAATGCTACAATATAGTGAGTTCAAAAGATTCTCTAGCGTTGTGTGAACAATCGCAATCCCAGAAAGGTACTCAATAAAGTATTTTGACAACAAACTCATAATTGGTTTTTGATCAACAGAAACGGAACATGAATTTAAATTGCTAGAGTTTTCACGCTCTGTGTTTTTGAGACTACATTTTCACTGTAGTGTCTTCTTATATTGCACACAAATCAATCTTCTCGTGCCTTCAATCGACAATCGAAATGTCACTATATATACATATATGTATAATATACATTGTATATGTTTTTATGTAAATGTACATGCATATGTATATGTATATGTATATATACTCTATTCATAAGAATTAATAGAAGTAATGAACAAACGCAGAAAAATAATAACTGATATAATAATGCAGAATATTTCAAATACTTTAAATCAGCTTTATCGTCAAAATAAGATAAAAATTCCTCTTTACCCCGTGGCTCAGTGTCACCCCTTCAACAAATACGTATCTCAAACTCTAGCTTTTGGGGGGCCAAAATGAAGTTTTTTTTCATCTCATTTCATCCTCCGGATTCTATTTCCAAGAACTTTTCCTTCGAACATGTTTCATATCTAAATCTTCTCAGGAGTAATCGCTTGAAAAATATTTGGCTATTTTATTATATAAGCTAGTCACAGTTGACAGATCATGTATCGCTTTAGCATCACTATTCACAAAGTTGTGATATTTTTATATTCGCATCGTATTGCAAACTTTATCATCGAGTATAACCGTTTTTGATGCTGGATGCACCCTGAACCAATAATTATTACAAAATTGGTACGTGAACATATCGGCATCATTTGTTTATACTCAACTCAGAATTTTATAATTATATGTATCGAGTATACTGATATTTTAGTTTTGCCGGAATAATTTATTGGAGTAGCAATATCTGGGTTATCAATATCGTGTGGAAACATGTCAATTTTGTTAGGTTGAAATCCATGTGAAACTTAACCTCTGGATTTAAACTAAAATGTCTCTAAGGCTGATCCAAAAATGTATAAACTTTTTGGTGATTCCCGGAGCTTAATTGCTAAATTCTAATGATATTAACTTAATTTGCTGTGGGTTTTCATTAGTGATAATTTTCTCTAATATTAGAGAAGCTAATAATTTGAAAAATGAGAAATCCGGGAATCACAAAAAATTTATATCTTTCTTTTTGAACCACTCTAATGTCCTTAATGCAAGGTGTTGACATAGATGGTGTCAGCTTTACCTTAAATAGTTTTGTGGCTTGCCACGTAATAACTAACTAAAATAAGCTAATGGGTGCCTAATGATAGGCTTACCTGCCTTAAAGCATCCACATTAGATTATTAGACTTGCAGGTCTTTATGATCGAAGAAAATTGTAATCTCCATATACAACGTAATCCATACTTGTTCCGAGTTTGAATATTTTTAGGGATTATTAATTGAACAGTTTAATTTATAGTAGCATGAAGGGCTTGTTCAAAAAGAAGAACGATTTCGATCAATATATTCAATACGGAGAATACATTCCATTTTTCTCGTGAAAATCGATCAAAATCCACATCATACACGGAGAGAATTGACAGTTGTCAGACGAAATTAAAATAAAGACGTAAAATTGCTGATCTGTTAAAATACCAACCGCTCAAACCTACAAACTGGCGTTTTACAAACGTCGTCTACACAATTTTCAGTTATTATTTTGTGTGCATGTTCCTCTCTTTGGGACGGCACAAATTCATTATTTTTGTGATTTTTTTTATTCCGCTTTTAGACTACCCTAATGTTTTCGTTTATGTAATATAAACCTGTCTACGAAAACATTCAAACCAAATCTACTTATATAATAAATTGCAATATTTCTTTGGTTTTTCAATTCAAACAAATTCAGTAATGAATCGGACATTCTATCTTGTGAAAGATTTGACCCACAGTGTATATATTACTATGCAACAGCAAAAACCCGTAAAGGAAGGAACTGCCAAAAGAGAGCAAAACATTTTTTCGACATTTGTTGCATAGTGTATTTTTAACAGAGTAGTTCTTTGAAGTTCGTACTTGTGAAATTTGGTACAAACCTTCATATCATTAATTACTATAAAATCATCTTCAAATAGTTTTATCCAAACTCAATGCATATTGTAACCGCTTAAAGAGTTGCGAAATCCAATTTTCAACTTGTATAAAAAATAGTGATTTTCAAACTATTTTTATTATTTACAACCAGATTATTCTGTATTCAAAATGATATATACCCTCTAGTGCATTAATTTTTCCCAGGACTTGGTTGATTTTTGGCCATAGATAATTTAAAAAATATTCATAATCCTGGATTCCTCGCGGCTTAGTCAGGAAATGCGATTGACATAAATCAGAGAACAATCAAATCCATTGTTTAAAACACGAAAACCGCTTGATGTAAACGCATTATTCGTGAAAAGAACCAAATTGTAGAGGACACCTTGAAGAATAAAAATGCCTGCTTTTGAAGCAATGTGATCCGACGTACGATTTACGATACAGGCGTTCAAAATTTGCCCGTATAAAAGCGGTTGTATGCACTAAAGGGTTAAACTAAGCATGCCAGATAGTGCAATACACACACAGAAATAATGTTATGAATCTTAGTATTAGTGATTCTTTTGGATTATTTAATTATTATTCTTTTTCATGAATCTATACCATAGTTCTTTTACCACGACATAGAATTTTTCGTTGAAGAAAAAACTTTGGTTGTGTTGGTACGAAATTTGACAGTGACAGAATTTTCGTTTCAGAATTTCTAGAAAATTCTGTCACTGTCAAATTTCGTACCAACACAACCAGAGTTTTTTTTTCAACGAAAAAAATTCTACACTGAGAAAAAAATATCTGAAAAAATCACAGATGTGATTTCTGAAAAATCTTTTCTCAGTGTATGTAGTGGTAAAAGAACTATGGTATAGATTTAAGAAAAAGAATCACTAATACTAAGATTAGTAATTTTTTTTTCTATGTGTGTATAGGAGATATGCACACAGTCTAGGATATATCTACTAGTAGATGCAATACACACCTGTGTCCAATTGTGTTGAAAAGTTTCATTTTTGGGAAACGCCAGAGTTTTTGACTTCTCTTCAAAGAAGTTTCGATAACGTATATAAAAACCAATTCATTTTCAATAGAAACGTTGCGCTCTTTAAAAACCATTTTTGAGCAAACAATCATAACTTTTCATTTTTCGAAAAAAATAATTTTCTACCGGCTGTTAAATTTGTTTTAAAGAGAGATCGAAGACGAATAATTACTTTTCATCAATAATTTTTCATCATGATCGCTGAAAAGTATGAAAAATGAAGTTTTCTGCATAGCAGACATTTTTTTGTTATTAATTTATTTAATACTGGCATAGTACGGTAAACCAATTTTATCAAGTTTTCTGCATTTTTTCAGCTAGAATCAATTTTTAATGATGGGTTTTTGCAGTGTAATCTTTACTTAGCCAATACAAAAAACTAAATTAAAAGTTATTCAGTTCGAGCTAGTTAAGATCGAACGATTTAGAACTGGATATCTTGAATTACCGCTATTACAATCAATGCTTCATTCCCTCCAAACGCCCCTCCAGATGAAAACGTTGATATTTCGAGCCTATACGGTACTCCCAGCACTAAGTTTGGTTTTAACACTCATCATCTTGTAATGTCATCAAATCATCAAGTTGAGAAGCTTTTGTGTAAATGAGGCCTGGGGAATGGGATATAGTCGAATATTTTTCTTATTTTGACTCAAGAAGAAAATTAAATTTAATTATACGTGCCCTGTCTGTATAACCTGTGTAAAAATAAACATCATGTAAATGCTGCGCATCGAATATCATAAATATATTTGATCAAACATTTTGTATATACAGAAATATGATGAACTGTGTGACTATATTCAACTGTATACAGGCTTATATGCTTGGGTGTTTCATGATTTCCCTCTTATAAGGAAATTTATTAGTTCCAATGATTTTGCATAGTTGCCCTATAAAATCCGTGCTTCAAAAATAATTTTACAACAGAAAAAGGTGAAAATGTCAATAATTTGATTGAGATTTCGGTTTGATTTTTCGGCATATTCTTATTAACCGCTTGGCATCTACCAATGGTTTATAATACTAGATTTTCGTTGTGTACACTAATTAATGAAGTAAAACATCAAAAAGGAAATTATGAAACACCGAAAGCAAATTGAAGTTTACATTTTAGGTAGATATTGCATTATTTGATGAATTTTTATCTAGAGCCAATACGCTCCATTTACTATCGTATTTACGCATTCTCATCTAGCTGAAAATTCAGCAATGAGATTATTTCCAGCTAAAATTTAAATTCAAATTTGCAAATGGTTACGAAGAAATTTATTTTCGCCTTCAAAAACATTCTAGGCATAATAAATGTAATTCCAGAAGCACAAAAGTATTATTGACTCAGTTTAAGCTAATAAAAATCATTCTAACATTTCTATTGGTATACAAAACGTTTTCATGAAAAAAAACATGGGCAAAAATGTGCCAATGAATGAATTCTTCGGAATTGAATATTTTTTCACTCAATGCAAGGTTTGGATCTCCAATCCACCACAACATGAAATAATGTTCAATTTGGAAAAATACATCCAGTAGCACGTTTTTGCACAGATCTGATTATGGGCAGAAAGAAAGAGGGGAAGACGAACACGAAAAATTACTTTTCGCTGAAAAGAAGTTCACAAAAAACGAATCCTGTTTTATCTAAATTTTATTGAAAAAATATGTAAGGGCACAAAGTACTCGTTACTAGTATTCAATAAAAAAAAGGTCAGAAATATTATATGTATGTGGAAAACTTCGCCAATATTGCAGGAAAGAGCTACGAAAATCGACCTGATTAATTCGTAATAGCCTGTCTTACTTGTAACAGACTGTGCTCTTTTGCTTCTCTGACTCCAATATTACATTCGTGAGCTTAGCTTCTCTTTCGATTTCCGAACCATCATATGTTTATGAAATTTAAAAAAATCCGTACAAATCTCTCTACCATCATTTTCTCAAGTCAAAGGAGTAAGAATGTGTATGGGTATTTTCCATGCAGGGACATTTTGCTGGGATTAGAATTTGGGAAATGGTCAAAATTCTATATATGACGAAGAGGTTATCACATAAATGATTTTAAGGCTCATACGTGGTTAGGAGCTGGTTAGAAAGATCTAGAAGTCAGCTAGAGTAAACTCTAGCACACATGTATCGATGATTCCATACCAAATCAGTTTCGAATTGGATCGACCTCCATAGGCTGAACATTTGCAAACTTGGAAACTGGTGAAAGGTGGAAAGATGAAATCCACAATCTTGGGGTCACTTTTGGCACTCAATAATGACATTTTTGCAACTGCAATCCAGGGCTCAAAAAGCGCACATTCAGTTCGCAGTACAACTCATTTGAATGATAGCCACAGCTTTCGTGTGCGATGTTTTTTTCATACAAACTGAGTTGTGTGCGCACACCGCTCACTTGTTTCTCCATTGCTTTGTGGGGATCTTCGTTCGGTCGGAAAAAATGTAGTAGGCTCTACATAGCCGAAATACAAGCAAAAACATGTTTTTTTTAATCTGCGTGTCTGCTGTGAGTTTTTGAGCGCACATTGAATGAACAGTGATAAACTCATTTTTATTTGAACATTTGTGAACTGTTCGTCGTCCGTTCGTGTGCGTGTAGCGCGCATGACATTGTAATGCATTGCGCTACTCACAGGGTTCACTCTGTGCGATTCTTAAGCCCTGCTGGAATCTATGTGAAAAGTGGTAAACACATTGGCAAGCCCATGACACCGTTAAATCAAAATCACGATGTATGCGAAATGCATCAAATGGAGTGCCATCTGTGTCATGCTGCTTTTGTTCGTGTAAATCCAAATTCATTCAATTTGAATACTCAAAAAACGTTCAAAAATTCAAAACCATTAGCTCATATAATATTGGATTTAATCCAAGTTGAAAACTCTTACTGGAACTGATTTGGTGTGGAATCGTGGATTTGTACAACAAACGAGTATCCAATTCCGTGTACATATGCATAAATGCATGGGTGCTTGCCAACTTCCAAGCCATTGAGAATTTTTCAAGGAAAACAATTTTCCATTCAAATCGAGCGTTTTTCCTCTCATATCGAGCACTGATATTAGCAAAATTAAAAACGTATAGATTTTGCACCAAAATCTACTTAATATGTTTACATCAAAAAATAGTAATTAAAAAAATGTTCAAAAGTCAAATATGTATGTACTATTATCGTTTACTTTACTGACATACATTGTCGATCTTTACCAATAAGAAAACGTTATTGATACACTGGAATGATTGAATACCATTGTGTGTATGAGAATATATTCGATCTGAAGTAGAAATTCAACTTAATTTAAAAACAAAATGAAAATATTGATAGCTATGAAAATTTAATTTAGATTGGAAGAGAAAAAGTGGAGTTTGATCAGAAAAAAACAAACAACTTGGATATTCTCAATCACGATCTCCACAGGACTGAATTGTAACCAATTCATCAAATCGAAAAAAATTTAGGGAATATTTTTTCGTTCTATCTGCAGAAATGAAAGTCGGCTTATCTGCCAATCAGCTGTCAAGGTTTTATCCCAGAATAACAGTTGATGGTATTACAATCGTTTCAAAGACACATTATATCAGTTTCATTCCTTTAATTGTTATATGAGGTGACCAATTCAACAGAATGGTTTTAATTATAACTAATGAAAAATATGAGACAGTATCATTGATACTTCATCCACCTTCAACTGCTATCAAACCCATGGTTATAGTCCACAAAGGATATTTTTTTGAACTGTAAGCCATTTAGAGCAAAAATGTTTAACTTTTATAGATTTTTTTTTTTCGCTTCTATTAATTTTCAGATCGTTTCAAGTAACTTTTTTTCAAATATTTATTGTCTTATATCTTCATTTAAGTATGTAATATAAGTTGAAGCATATCCTGAGAATCATTCCTTCTAAAGTGAATATTGTACAGTAAAAACAAGTGAGATCCATTCCGTATAAAGAAAATAATATGAAAGGATGAGTTCGAATAATTCTCAATAAGTATAAGTTTCTTCATTTTTCCCAATTTGTGGCGATTCATTTTTCAATAAATCTGAACAGAACAAACTTTCTCGAGCTTTGGCTTTGTATATTACAATTTGGTTCAATTAAGTTAAGCATTATATTGTATATTTTTCTTTGAAGTAATTATTTCCAAGAATATGTATGTATACAAATGCATTGAACAAAAAATACCGAAGATTTGAAGCTACAAAAATAAATTGTATATTTTTACTCTTTGCTATATCCTTATAAAATATACGAACACATAATGATCAGTATTTTTCACTTAGTTTTAGTTTTTTATTTACGAAACCTTCTTGCTTTTGTACGACTTTTTGAAACGAAATAAGTAAGTATCGAAAAGCGGAGATCAGCCACACGAGTGACTGAAGCACCCCCACCACTTGAAGTCAACTAGCATATATATCACAATGAGCCAAACACGTGCAATTATTGTGCATAGTAGATTTATTCCCAAATCGTGCACAACTCTTACACATATTGTGCCCAGAAACAAAATTTTATCTAAATACGTCCAAAAATTGCACAATTTTTGCACTTTTAGTGCTACATTTAGCATTACATTAAAATATGCACAAAATTCAAACATTTAGCATTACATGTGTTCATTGGGTAAGTATACTTACTAGGGATCAGCGAGAATTGGTTTTTACTGATTTTGAAAACCCTCTCAGTGATTATTGTAGAGCTCTGCGAGGCTAAAAAAAACTTTGTCACGGCACTTCGGCCATAGCACACCTTGTGTGACGTCGAGCTCGATTCGAAGCTAAAAATGCACCAATAGAAAAAAGTCCATTTTTAAGCAAAATAAACACCAAGTGTTGAGACAAAATGTGCGCGGCGTCGAACTGAATAACTTTGTCCAAGATGCCAACAATACCTTTCCATTCTCATGGGCCGAAAGAACGGTCTTATTGAAAATGAGTTCATTTTAAAAACGTAGTATGTGAAAATCTTCTATCTTGGGTCAATATCGGATATTCAGTGTGTGTGGCTAAAGTGTAGTACTCGTCGAGCCAAACAACTTTGCTGCAGTCAAAATTCCGATATTTCCTCTTGTTGCCTTTGAAAAATTGAAAAACCTCCAATTTTTACTAATCTACTAATGCACTCAATATCGAAGGTTTTACATCGAATCTTCTTCTTTGATCCTTATATTATATTAAATAGCAGCCTACAGATTTACCGGCATTAAAATGTAGTAGGTAGTAGCATTACGTTAACAAAAATTGCCTGTAATGTTATTACAATCAGGGCCTGTCCCAGATAGGGCGCAAGTGGTGCGCTCAAATTTTCGAAAAATATGTGAAAAAAAGCACAAAGAGCGCTTAGTATTATAGACAAATGGAAAAAAATGGAGCGCTTAGAGTCGCAATTTTTCGAAAATAAATAAACAGGAGATGTATGTATAGAAGAGCGCTCGCATAAAATATAAAATTTTGTTCATGATGACTTTTTTCGGGTGTGTTTCTTCTCATTTGGCTATTTCATGACTCAACCAAATTTAATGGAAACAATTGATGCGGCGAAATAAAGAAGAATTGTTGACTGATCATTTGTCGATTTGCTTATCATTTTCTGAAAGAATTAACTTAAAGTAAACAAGAAAACTCTGACCGGCCGGTCGGAATGCTTTTAGTTAACTGATTGATTTTATTGAACGTAATAAAAAAGGCGGCCGAGAAATGTCACCTCGCGGTGTTGTGCGATGCGATGTGACAATCTCAGGGTTGTATAATATTTGAACGTTTATAAAGTGTTCGTTTCCGAACATACTGCCCCCGCTGCGGAGCGAAATTAAATTTATTTAAATGAACACCAATAATTTATTATTAGAAAAGACGAGCTGAGAAGCAGCAAGCCAAAGTAACAATATGAAAATGAAATGGTTTGTACAATGAATTAAAACTAAATCATTCATCATCGATCGGTAAGCGTGCAATTTTGTTAATTCCTCGTCTGAATGTAGACGATCCAAGTTTCACTTCAACATTTCTCACACATCCTTCATCTCCTGGGAATGTTGTAATCACTCGTGCCAGCGGCCAGTGAGTAGGTGGTAAGTTGTCATGCTTGACGAGCACAATGTCTCCAACTTCGATGTTTTCCTTCTTCTGATTCCATTTCGATGTTTCGATTTGCTGCGCTACATATTCACTATGCCAGCGTGGCCAAAATTCTTGAGCAATCTTTTGAATCAGACGCCAACGCGTCAATCTGTTGTCCGGTATCGATGTGTAATCAAACTGTAATTTAATAAAAAAAATGCGTTCCATGTCAACAATTGCAGGCCAGTCCACCTAAAGCAGAATTGATTCCTTGGAAACCAACTGATTCGGTTTGGAGTCGAATTCACATTGACTTTGCTGGACCGAAGTTCAATCATTACTTTTTGATTGTTGTGGATTCACACTCAAAATGGGTTGAAGTTTTTAAAATGAAAACAATTACATCTGCCTTCACAATTTCCAAGTTGCGAGAGTTTTTCAGCCGTTTGGGCATCCCAGACATAATTGTAAGTGACAATGGAACTCAACTCAAGTCTGCTGAGTTTAATGACTTTACCGCACGTAATAATATTGAACACATTTTTACGTCACCTGGTCATGCAGCAACGAATGGCCAAGCTGAGAATTTTGTAAAAACATTCAAAAAGTCATTCATTGCTAGTGTAAATAGTGCAAATCTGAACAACACTACTCGTGATTTGGATACGATTATAAATCGGATTTTGCTTGATTATCGAAATACTATTCATTGCACCACAGGTGAAACACCTGCTAAATTGTTCTTTGGACGCACTTTGTGCACTCGTTTTAGCAATTTGCGACCACCCACTGTGCGAGAAGTAATCGAAAATAAGCAAGAAATTCAAAAACGCAATTTCAAAGGCAAGCGTAACGTAGTTTTTAAGAAAGGTCAAAGTGTAATGATTACAAATTACAAAGATCCAAACAATCCATCATGGTCACAAGCAACAATTAAACACAAAATTGGTCCACGTACGTATACTTGTGTCTACACGCACAACAATAAAGGAATAAATCGTCATTTGGATCAAATTCGTGATCAATCATTTAGTTTAGACGATTCATTGTACTACGAAATGAATGAAACAGGTACAAGTGGTTCTGGGATTAAATTCCCAAAAAAAAATTCCCAATCAACAAAATTCCCAATCAATACGAAATTCTCAAAGCCAACAAAAATAATAGCGAGTGAATGAGTTGTACAACCACAGCTAGCATAGTGCATAAGCGTAAACGCACACATCATATTTCATTGTTTTCAACTATCGCTAGGATTGTGTCAAGTGGCACAGTACCACAAGCATAAACGTGTCCATTTTCCATTGAGACATCATGTAAATTTTTTCGTGCGGAATTTGAAAACAATGAAATATGATGTGTGCGTTTACGCTTATGCACTATGCTAGCTGTGGTTGTACAACTCATTCACTCGCTATTATTTTTGTTGGCTTTGAGAATTTCCTATTTTGGGAGTTTTTTTTGGGAATTTCGTTTTGGGAATTTTGTCTTTGGGATTTTTTTTTGGGAATTTTGGATCGGGAATTTTTTTTCTGGGAATTTTGGATTGGGAATTTTGTTTTGGGAATTTTGTCTTTGGGAATTTTGTTGATTGGGAATTTTGTCTATGGGAATTTTGTTTTGGGAATTTTGTTGATTGGGAATTTTGTCTTTGGAATTTTTTTTTTGGGAATTTTTTTTTGGGAATTTTTTTTTGGGAATTTTGGATTGGGAATTTTGTTGATTGGGAATTTTTTTTGGGAATTTAATCCGGATACCGGTACAAGTGAACAAAACGCGACTGTGATCAATGTTTCTGATGAGAGTTTAGGTAATGAATCACTGGTGTTACCGTCAACAAGCAACGATTCGAAAGCCAAAGATCCTGAATGGAAGCCGGATGCATACTCAAAGAATTCTGATTCGGCAACTGATGAAGAAACACCAGACGGTCAAAACAATCAGGAGGGGAGAAAGTTACGTCCTCGAAAAGATGGCTAAACTATTAAAGGAACCAAATGATTGTTTGTTTGCCTCGGATCTCTGAATATTGAACTCCATTTTATTTCATTTTGATTCAGATTTCATTGTGAATTATATTCAATTTTCTAATCATTTTAGCTTCGTAGTTATTTCATTTTGCATCAAATTTCGCTTGCAGTGTAAATAAAGAAAATATTATATTTTATAATAAAAACAACTTTAGGGGGAGCGTGTTATATATATACGTAAATCTACTACTACATGTCAGTGTGAATCATTTGACAAACAATAGACAAACACTGTCATACAACAAAACCTCACTTTATGTTAAACTAATAAATTCATTCCATTCGCACCACTCAAACCGAACATCGCATTTCATTAGAACATTACATATAGCCTGACTTGAACGTGTGAAAATGAAAGACTAAATGAAGCGTTGAAAATTGTAATAAAGGCCTCAATGACTGCCAAAGTCGTCGATCAATTCATCAGAGGGGTGGTAAATTGAAGAGAAGTTCTACGTCTAATCTAAACAGGTCCCTATTGGTATCCATCTCACAGGGTGTATTCAAATTTTATTGTAGGATCTTCATGAGCTGTTTCATCTCAAGTTTGTAGTTTTTGAAGGTAGATCGAGCCTAAGCTTTTTATCCTTTTCTCAATTCAGCATGTTTCTGAACCTTTTCAGCCGAACGATATGACTTTTTTAGAAAGAAGAAAATTTTTTTAATCTGGAATTAGAAGCGGGATTAAGTATACGGTCCGTTTAATATTTGTTTAAATAGAGAAAATTCACAGAAATAGAAAAGGTGATATTGTGAAAACGGTTTCAAACTGAAACTCAATGAGTGCAGTTCGTCCTTAGAAATTTATTCAATTCACAAAACCATCAATATGTTGTCTATTTGAAAATTTCGTTGATGAAAAAATTGAATTGATTTTCTCCCCATATGAAGAATTTTCGACATTAACTTTTGACCGGCGAAGTTTTCGGTTTTTCATATTTTAGCAATGGCATTGGTTTCAATTAAAGGTGTCAAACGGACGGACTGTCCGCCTTTTTGGCCCGTCCGTCCGTCCAGGGCTCTTGAAAATTTTTTGTCCGTCCGTTCAGAGCTGCTAAAAATTTTCTTGTCCGTCCGTCCGCCCGTTCAGCTACGATCGGACGGACCAAGAAAATTTCCGAGGGTCCTGAACGGACGGACGGACAACTAAATTCAGAAGGCTCTGAACGGACGGACATACAAAATTCTCATACAATATTTTTCACGATTTGAAGAAGAATTTTTTTTTTTTTCAAAATATTAAAAAAAAAAAAAATCATCGAAAAAATTTCCATCGAATTTTTTTTATTTACACGAAAATTCCCATCGATTATACAATTGATCACGGTTTTATCCAATTTAATGGTTTTCAAATAAGAACAAATTGAAATTTACACGAATTTCATAAAGAAATCGAACAATAAGATACATAACAAAAATACCATCGGTATCAGCAATTGGTTTTTAAAACACGGGAGAAACGAAAATATCGAATATAGTTCAAATTTTGATATATCAAAACGTACATATGTTTATGTGTTGAACAATGTACCATTCTCCAAACGATAAACATTGACCATTTCTCTATTTTATTTTTATTTATTCACAACAGGTCTCATTTTACAAAATTAGAAGACTATCTACTACAAAAAGCAAAAATTTATTGCTATTGAATACTTGGAAAACAATTTTTTTACTGAAATTTTCACTCACAAATAGTCTGACGGACGGACGGACAAGAAAATTTTTAGCGGCTCTGAACGGACGGACAAAAAAAATTCAAGAGCCCTGAACGGACGGACGGACGGACGGACAAGGTGCTTGTCCGTTGACACCTTTAGTTTCAATGAGTTTAGTCGCCCCTAGAAACTCATTCAATCCATTAAACCATCATAATCGAGTGTATTTCAAAATTTTGTTGAAACTAATTTAAGTCAATTTTTTACCAATATGAATGATCTTCGAACGACAACTTTCAAACGACAACATTTTTTGTTCTGCATATTTTGGCTATGGGATTGATTTCAATGAGTTCAAGTAGACTCCAGACGCTCATTCAATTTATTAAACTATCAAAAATGGTCCGGTTTGAAAATTTCGTTGAAAAAAATGTTGCATCGATTTTCTCCTTATATGAAAGATTTTTGATTCCAACTTTTTATTTTATTTTATTTTATTAAACACCGCCAAGCTCTGGCTGAATATAATGTGGGTTTTGTTAGAGGTTTGGCCGGAAAAGAGTGCAAGAGTGTTACAATTTTTGTAAATAATGAGCAATAGTAGCAGTAACTTTCGATAACTTTCAGTTCTCGCCTCGTTAAAAACCTGGCTCTTTTCGTAAATTATGAGGTAATCACAATAGTAGGAACATGAAAATGAAAGCAGTCATACAACCAAGATGGAAATGCTTGATAGTAGTCTATAGCAAACGGTCCAGGATAACTTTTGGTAAACGTTTCCAAAGGGACAAAGGCTATGTGAAGCTGAACTGTTACGCGTTGAATTTAAGACTTTGAGACTGCAAAAGTCGTCACTCAATTTATCCGATAGATAAATTGATGAGAAGTTCTACGTCGGTTAAGGCAGATCCATGTTGATTGCAGAGTGCATTGAGTTGTCATGGACCATGATTTGAAACGTAACTAGATCATTTGATGCTAAATGGTAAATAATTCAAAATTGACTTCAAAGATAAGAATATTAACCTGCCAACTAGTGGATAGCTACAACAAAGCACAAAATCAAAATAAAAATTTACAATAAATAAGTGTAAACATCACAGATGAGTATCATCTTTTCAATACACATAAAAGAATGTATGGAAAACAATTCGTTAGTCTTTTAATATTGATTTTGCTGTGTGCTCACACGGAGTTGAATTCCACGTGCGTGGTTGGAACCTGGCGGCCAATGTAATTTCTCCATAAGCTGTGCACAAAATGTGTACAACTGTAACGTTTTCCTCATTGGGGGGACAGCCCCGCTCATGTTTGTTGCAATCAGAAGCAACCCAAATGGCACCCGGGCAGTATGCTTTGTCCTTGATGAATTCGTCCGCTTGGGATCATGGATCGGGTTTAACGGCAACATGAAAATCGAAATTTCATCATTAATGTGGGCAGTATCAAGGTGTTTTCGTAGAGAACATGTACAAAAAATGAGGTTACCTGGATGAGAAGTTGACTAGGCGGCCAGGTAATCATTTGAGTTTGCAAAGCGATCCAAAAGTGGTGTCCGTCATTTTGCGAACCGATGATGCAAAATTCGTCTTTGAGGTCGCTGTTGTGAACAGTTCCGGCACCATGTTCGGCATTTTGCACATTTGAGGAACTGGAGCCTCGCGCACCAACTTCATGTGCTTGTCATTGACCTTGGAAAGGTCTTGGCCCAAATAGTCGGAAACACCATTACCCCCATGCGTAAAGTGTGGTTTAGTCAAAAATATAGTGGTTGCAACATTTCGATAAATTTTCAAATCTATACCCATATCCCACGAAGGGAGTACCCAGGGGGTAGTCTGAAGTATCCAAAAGAAGATCCTCCTCGCCACTTTTCCAACGCCGGTCTAAGTGCCCCGATTGGTCCAAAAACGAAAAAGTTATGGGCATTGGGAGTTTGACCTTGGTTTTTTATGAAAGTATCGATTTGGATGTACGTCCGTCCGTCTGTCCGTACCTTCTTCGGTTTCCGATGCGCATATGCCTTAGTTGTAGCTAGTGTCGGGGCACGTTGAAATCCGTCCTCAGATTGACATTTGCATTACAGGAGAGCTGGCTATGGCTTCATTAGCCTGCATGTATACGATTTTTTCAAGTATTTATTTCGCACACTAGATCAACTCAGACACCCATCGGGCAAAGTCAGCTCGTAATTATTTGAGAAGACCTTCAAAAAGTTCCATACACACATGCCAATGTTTATGTGATATAAAAGAAAAAAGTCGATTTTTATGAAAAATCGACCCTCTTAAATTTCACACCAAACGCGATTTCTCAAAAATCAGCCCGACAATCTTTTACCAAAAACTGAGCGTTTGTAGCCGACCATACCAACAAAATCAGTTAATCACATTGTTTTGTCACAAATTTTATATCATTCTAGTCGTAAGGACTTGCTGTATCCTAATAATATAAAGTTCATCCGTGTCAACATCAATTTCGTCGATTTTTCTCTGTGATAATTTGTGCACATTTTTGGTTACGTCGCTCTCTTTATTCACGTCGTTTTCCTGTGTTATTGTTGTTGGTTTTCATAACCATAAAATGGCCCAATGTGCGTGTGACAACAGCATTTCATGCTATGGCTTATGTGGCAATTCATTTCATTTCGCCTGCCTGAATAAAGACACTGTCACCACTACGGCGTCTCCACTGTCAAGTCACAGGTTGAGTTTCTTTTCGTGCCCCGTATATTTATTGTTATTTAATTGTTTTTTGTTATTTATATGGTAATTTAATATAAAAAAATTGTGTAATCGTGGAAATAAACTCTGTATGCGTTCATTACATATGAAGTTTAATAGTATTCAGTGCGCAGTGTGATTATATCGTGCCTGTGATTGAACTGTGAACATTTTGTTGTGTTTGGCATCGTAATGTCAACACAGAGACAATGCTCGCGCGATTAATGCGCACCGAACAATGTAAAATTAGACTCGACGACCAAATGTTCCCAATGCCAACATGTTATCCATTTACCGTGCATTGGAATTCCGTTGAAAACGTCTGAAATTTCTTCCCCGAATATCCGAATTCTGTGCCAAAAATGTGTTGCTGAACCAATTGGCACGCAAATGACGTCAGAGATGAACATGTCATTCAGCTCCGATGTAAAGTCAACACTGAAAGCCACCATGAAAACAGTAATGCACGAAGTGAAAATGCTCCGAAATCTGATTGAGGCCAATGGCGTAAAATTGGATTCAATTTAAAAAAAAGCCGATGATATTGTCAATCGCACCGAAAAAATAGC